TACTTTCAAATCAAATCTTAATCGTATTTATTCCAGCAGCCATTTTCTTATTAGGGATTTTCTGGTAGCCGTCTGCCCTTTTCTTCTTTTTAGCTTTTATGATTTGTGTATTAGCTGTTGCCTTGCAGCGAGAAGGTCCTGGATTCGCTTCCCGGCCTGGGATCTTTCTGCATGGAGTTTGCATGTTCTCCCTGTGCATGCGTGGGTTCTCTCCGGGTACTCTGGCTTCCTCCCACAGTCCAAAAACGTGACTGTTAGGTTGATTGGTCTGTCTATATTGTTCTTAGGTGTGAGTGTGTGTGTGTGCATGATTGTGTGTCCTGTGTGTCTCTGTGTTGCCCTGCGATGGACTAGCTCTCTGTCCAGGGTGTACCCCGCCTGATTGCCCGTTGACCGCGGGAGATAGGCACCAGCACCCCCCCCCCCCCCCCACACACACACACACACACACACACACACACCCCACCCCACCCCACCCTACGTGGACAAGCGGGTTCAGAAAATGGATGGATGGATTTGTTTATTTTACTTTTTGTTCAACGGTTTTATGTTCTATCTTTTATCGTAATCTCTTTTTTATGCTTTGTAGCAATTAAAACATATTGATTATGACCAATAAGATTTGATTATTCCATATAACTATGAAATATTAATCTGATCTTTGAATGTTTAATCAGAAGATTTTAGGGTTCTTTGCTTCTTTAGGGACCATAAACACACTTCGTATTAATTCAGACAGAGTCAGTATGTAGTTTATAAAATGAATTTAATTATTTTTCCTAAACTAATAACTTATACATGACAAGATATGAATAATGAGATGTGAGGTGTTGTAATGGAAGTTAGATGTTGTAGCAACCGTTCTTGGTATCTGAGAGAAATTGTGAAATCTGGGTGTAAAAGAAATTGTTGTTTGGTTATAAACTAGAGAGTTGTTTATTAAAAACAGCATCAGACGTAATCTGTCATGCCAAGTCTACGCACCCTTGGTGTGGAGGTTCTCGTTGGATCTGGGGGGTTGATGGGCACTGCCGGTGGAGTGAACTCTGATATCAGGAACCCGTAGACAGCTCTGATATGACCCATCCAGTCTGAGATCCCGCTAGGTGAAGGCCGAAAGCTGGAATGCTTATTTGCGTCTAAGGTTGATGTTTGTTTGGCTCTTAGACACAAACAACATTGCTGGATTAAAGAGCAAGTCACCCCCAAATCAACTTTCTTTTCTGAGAAACTATATAAATGCATGTCTTATTGTGCTGCAGACACGTGTAGTCAATAGTTTTGCACTTTACTACATTTTTGTTTACATTTTATTTTCTGCCTAAAACTGTGTGTTGTGCCGTTGTCAGGTGAAAACTCTGCACTGCATTTGAATTTAAATCTTCTGTCGCTATTGGATAAGAGGTACCCTAGAACGTTAGCTGGTACCATATGATGTCACAATGTCGTTGTGAGCCTGCGTGTGTGTGACTTGCTCTTTAAGTCTTCCTAGTTTGTGATGCAGCTGATGTGTATTATATGTACCCTTCATTAAAGAGTTCACATAATCAAAAGTCGTTTTAACATAATCTGGTCAAAGAGAAGTTCCCTAAAATCTCCACAGCCCTGAATAAAAATGTCCTGTTAAGACAGGTCTTGACCAAAAATGACTTAATGGTTTCTAAAAAGGCACCAAAGGGAAATCATCAAAGTATCTAAGCGATGAAACACTAAGCTGTTGTATTTTAGGGTCAACAAGATCAAAATGTCCAGATAAAGGATCATTAACTAAGGTGTCACCTCTCACTTTCCTGATGAAGCTGCATTCTTTACTTTATGCTTAATAAACAGTGAAATGTGACACTCCTGATGCGGTGAAACAGGTTACTGAGATGATTTGGTCCATCAGACAAAAGGTAATTTAAGCACCGCACGCTTCTCTTCTCTTCTTTGATGGAGTCAGCAAATATAAAAATAGGGGTTTGACTTTCATGAGTCAGCATGTTTGCTTCAGTAAGAAGGTGAGAAAGAACAAAACGGCGGTAAACAGGCTGACAAACGACTCCAGCTGTTGAAGAGGCCACCAGCGAACCTGGCTCAGCCCTTCACCCACGTGGTCGTAATGTGGCAAACATCAGCCAAAGGTAATATTTAGGCACGCATGGATGCACATCCAAACTCCAAACACTTCCTCCTCTGAATCAAAGCTGAAAACTAAACACAGAGACTATAAATATTAGCCTGCCTCTGCTAGACACCCAAAAGGACTCGACTGGATTTTGCTGGACGGTCCCGTTAGATTTAGAAAATAAATATTTCCCAAAGCAGAGTTTGATTTTCCAGCATGACTTATTTAGAGACAAACCTTCAGGGATTCGCCTTGTGGCCGACGTTCACTTTCTGCTCAGTCCTCATCCTTCTGTTGTGCAGCAGCTCCTCTGAAGCCTCCATGTACCACAGAAAAGGTAGGAGCTACTTCTTGTTATTTAGCTAAATCACTTTTTCAACCTTCCATGCTGAAGGGTTGATGTTCTCCACATTAATCAACCCTGCACGGAGATAAACGACCACGACTGGCTGACCGAAAACTTTCTGTCCTCCACACTCCAGCCATGCACTCAGCCTCTTTATTTTTTTTGGGGGGGGGGGGGGGGGGGGGGGGGGGGGTTCTACGTTACAGAGCAGTGTGTTCTCAAGGTGACTACCCCATGAGGGAAGCTTCCAGGGAGGCTTTAGGTGTTCCAACAGGAGGAGAACGTAGTTTTACCCTTTAACTCTGACCAGTGTACTTACGTGAGTCCCATAAAGAATATATATGGGTCCCAACTGGTTTTGTCAGCGGTTTCAGTGGTGGCCCCATGAAGGTTTCCCCTTATAGATTTGAACGGCATCTTCGTGGGTTTTCGGAGGAACTCAGGTGGTTTGCCTCATACACGGGCTCATTAAAGGCAAACCCCGGTAGGGTCACCGCAGACCAGGCCTGTTGGGACTCGTACAGCTTTCCCATGCATATTCCATATGGGGCCCACGTGTATGCAGGCTAGGAGTGTTGGTACCCTACCTCACTGTAACTCCTTGATTCTTCCTCAGGCACCTGCACATACAAGGACAAGTTCTTCAAACCTGGAGAGTCATTCAGGAGAGGCTGTGACAAGTGCTTCTGTCATGAGTTTGGCTTCTACTGCTTCACGTGAGTTCATCATCTCGTTCATTCGTTTGATAAAAGCATGACTTCTTGCAGCTGATTCGTGATGATGCTTCCCTTCAGGCCAATGAAACCAACCTCATGGCCCAAGAAGTGCCATCGCGTCTGGGCAGGCTGCGGCTATAAGGTCATTTATAAGGAGATGCCCCTGGTGGAGTGCCACCCCTACAGCTGGATCGGATAATTTAACAGGAAGGAGCTGTCATGCAGGCGTCTGGATGACATTTTAATGATCTCCAAGGGTCTGATGGGACATTTATTATGCTAAAACCATAAGAAAGCAGGGTTTCACCTCGAGTTCGACCTCAGTGCTTGTTCAGCCCTTGGTTTTATTTACTGTCACACAAAATGTTGGTGCAGTATGAAATTTGTGTCATGACTTTTTTTTTTATTTATACTAAACACAAGTTTATTCTACATTAATTTATATTCATATGTATTCATTTTGTTTAAAAGTGAAAAATAGCATCTGTATCAGAGGACCTGATGCATGAGTGAAAGGCTTACCTGCCTAGCATGCAGACCAACTCCGCACATTTGTATTTTATTCTTCTTTTGTTGTTTAAGGAATGGTTTGCAAGGCTGAAGTCAGGCTAGAATGCTGCGGTCCAGTCCAAGAACCATACAGGCCTATAGATGTGACTGTACTGATCTGCACATTTGTTTTTGTTTGCATTGTAATTATAACCCTTTAGATACTGTTTATTCATGTATTCTGATGTTTGACTCTGGTGTAAAGTATGTTTTTGTTGCTTTTACTTGACTTTATTTTTTGGCAAACGTGACGTATTTTTGTAAAAGTGACTGAAATTCCGTTTTTAACATTTTGTTAAGGATTCATATTCTGGTAACTTGAATGGTGACCTATTATATTCTTAATTGATTGAGTTTGGTTTTAATATGAAAACAAGAAGATAAAAAATGACAGTGGCCAGAATTGGTCTAAGGAGCATTTTCTGTGATCCATTTCATTTTTTCCACAAATTGAAGAAAGCAGGAATGTAATGCAGGCAGCAGGGGGCGCTATAATATCAAAACTATTAGTATTGAGCAGGACAGAAAGAGCCAGTTTAGATAATTTGTGTTCATTTTGTTTTAATTACATATCCTGACCCAAACTGTCTGTATCTACTATAATATGTCCATGCATTCATTGTTTATTTATTCTTCCCAATTTCATACTGTAAATTTGTATTTTCATGTAGTTTTTACTCTTTAATTCACTCACTCATCTTCTCCTCATTAGAGCCTCTGGGAGCTGGTGTCCAACTCCAGCAAGGTGGAGGGGGACACATTGGACACGTCTCCAGTGCTTCATGGGGACAAACAACTAGTCAAACACTTACTCACACCTAAAGGGGCTACTTCAAATAAATCACACATGCTTGTTTCTGGTTAGTGAGGGACAACCGGCGTCTCTGGACAAAACCTACGTGCAGTATATGCCTGGAGATGTGCAGCCGGGTTTAAAACCTGCAAACTTCCTGCTGCAGGGCTGAAGAGCTACCAATTGCACCAAGCATGCTATAATTTATGATAAAACTTAGTTTTACAAAATTTATTTTCAAAGATTGCATATTTATTTTCATTTTCTGTAAAATGCAATTTTTGTATCTGATTGTTACCGGGTTTTTTTCTCCAAATTTCAAAATTCAGAATCTCTCTGATTACTCTGAGCTTTTGTCAGCTTCACTCAGAAGTTTGTAGCAGAAACATTTTGATTTAATCTGTTTATGAGTCACACAAAACTGTTATATTCATCATGTTCTGAGCTCAGTTCTGTTTCTTATTAAAAACGAAAAAAAAGCAACGTGACTCAAATGGGCACACCAATTGTTTTATATTTTTGACATGAATGACCAACAACATAAGCGATAAAATAAATAAACAATAAATAAACGGGTAAAACTGCTAATAACGGCCTTTCATGTGTGGCGTAGCAGAGCAGCAGGCACCTTTTGTTTAGAGTCGTGAGCAACAGCGAAAATGACAAAAACAGGCTAAAGATCTTGTTTCGACTTCAACAGCAGCAACAAGAATGTAAATCTGATCTGGGAACAGAAGAGATGTTTTGGAAATGTTTGAGTGAAATACAAAAGAAGCTTAGTAAGACCAGGTAGAGATGACTCGGCATAAAATACGTATACACCAGGTTAAGTCAGGTGATCACAGAAACAAAAACCTGAACAAAGACAAATCTATACAAAAGGAAATCCTCAATCATTTTACATTTACTCAGTCTGTCTGAACCTGATGCAACTTAGAATTAGTAACGCAAATCTGATGACGTGTGCAGTTCTTTGGGTATTTTTTTTACTATAATAGACTAAATGTGATGCGTTCACAGTCCTAAAACAATAACTGGTTTGACACATTTACCTTAAACGGGGAAAAACATAACTTCAAATAATTTAAACAATTGTTTTAGAAAAACTGCCAGAAAATATAAAAAAATATTCATCTTAACTGCCACAAAAATAAAAGTTAACGGTTAACATGAAAAAGTCCCGAATGCAAACCGAACGAACTCAAAAAGAGTAAGACTTACAGAAGAGGCCTAAAGACGGTAAAAGCTAATAAAATAAAACCTTTTCAGGTTTAAGAAGCAGACCGGTCAGCTGTGGAAGACTCCAAAAAACTCCACCGCTGTCGACATGGATGGAGAAATCCTCCTTTTTTTTCTTCTCCAGCAGAGAAGATTAACACGCGTACCGGAACACTGGTGGCAGGAATGTTCTGCTCATTTTAAAGTGAAATCCACAAAGAGACTAAACAAAATGATTTTGTTTTACATTTTGTCCATTTTGTTGAGAGGAAACTGAACATTTTAATGTGCTTTGCTCCGCATTTCTCACATTTGTATCCCATCTGCGTGGCGTCCCTTCGCTTCCAAAGAAAACTCGTGGGAATTTTCAAAAAGCGTCGCAGGAACCAAAGCCAGAGTTCCTCAGTGTCGACGCTTCCCTAAACCAGTCTGGTCAAACTTCAGCAAAATCACAGTGTGTTTCTTTGTAATACTCTTGAGGACACCTTCTCCAAACAACTTCTCTTCATGAACCAAGAAAACAATCAGTTCTGGTTTCAGGGTCATAGGTCTGTCACCTTGTTCTCTAAAGCAGCAGCAATCTGTTGGAGCCTGTAGCCCAGCTGCATCTTCTGGGCTGTGGAGTCCTCTTCCAACGCTGTGATAATCTGACGAGAGAAACATTAAAGCGATGGATCTCTCGTTCAATCAAAACATCTGCTGTGGTCTCTGAATGGCTTGTAAGTCGTCATCGGAACTAAAAGTTGCCCACATCACAGCTGAGCTTCAGACAGCTTAGTTCCTCACAGCAACACGATTCTACCGCTGAGTCTGTTTGCTCTGCAACATGTTTTATCTCCACAAATAACACAAGCCAGGAGGAGTTCTGCTGTGTGGCGGGGTTGCAATTGCTAATAGTTAGCTTCTACTAGCCGAGACTTTCTCTGCTGCTTCTTGGACGCTAAACAAACAACAGCCTACCCTGTCATGAGCCAAGATGGGTGAGTCCATGAATGTTAAGTCATTCTCTTCCAGCGTTTCTCACCGTTTTTACAGTTTTTTTAAGAGTCACAGAACGTTGCGCGCTAGGAGGATGTCGACGGCAAAACAACGAAAACAAAGCGGAGACTCATCTCTAACATCAGGAAGAATCCGTGCGTTTCGAGCATTATCCGTTCTTTCATAATCCGTTGTTGAATTGTGATCGGCAGAAGCTTTTCCGGTTCGCACCTCACTTTTTTTTTACAGCAGCGGCCCAAAACGATCTCCTAACACATGGATGTTCTGCTTCCTGATCACGTGACGTGTGACATACGTGGATGAAGATCGGCTTTAGAGCTGAGATGTTTGCTGTCACGGTGCGGGGGCTCGTCCGACGCCCACACAGTAAAAAAAATGCAAATGACGACTTTAGTCGTCATTGGCAGGGAGTGAGTTAAGTGACAGTGTGACGTATGCGGATGAAGATCGGCTTTAGAGCTGAGATGTTTGTTCTCACGGTGCGAAGGCTCGTCCGAATTTGTTCTCACGGTGCGGGGGCTCGTCCGACGCCCACACAGTAAAAAAAAATGCAAATGACGACTTTAGTCGTCATTGGCAGTGAATGAGTTAAGTGACGGTGTGACGTAGATCTGTGAGGCTTTTCTAATCCTGTTTCACCGTCTGTTTTCTATCAGAAGCTAATGCAGAAGATAGGTGTAGGAGACTATTTTCATGTTCAGCCTGCATGAAAAACTGAGTGACCCATTGGAATCAGAAATAATCATTAATAATGGTTTGTCAGTGAAGCACCGCTTTAAAAGGTTTCCAACAGACTTTCTGAGTGTGTTTCTGTGATACTCACTTGATCATAGTACTTGTTGATGTACTTGTACAGCTCATATAAAGCCACCAGGCAGTTGACCTCAGCGGTGTAATTCTGTTTTTGAGACAAGTGTCATATTAACATGTGCTTAAAAACTGAACAATAAAATTGTGTTCTTGGGCGAAACGTGAAAACATACACGGGAAAGTTCTGCTAGAGCTGAATTCATCTCCTGGTCGCTGGCTGGGATGGTCTGTCGGATGTCAGCGTAGTACCTTAAAAATAGAAATACACTCATTAAAGTGAAGAAACATAGGTAAGCATACAAGTCATTTAAGTTTCTTAAACAGGCGCGTCTCCTATAAATAACTTTAATCTAAGTACAGGATAAAAATACTACCAGTACTACTACTGAGAAGAAAATCGGCCAGAGCATCTCCTTGTCCAGCAGAGCTTTAATATATCACTAGTGTCATCTGCAGGCTTTCATGTGCAGCTGAGAGTAGTTAAATGTAGCAGCCTGCTCCCAGACTATCCATGCATGGAAGCCTTGCAGGCTTAGTCTACCTTCTGTCTGCTGCTAACAGATGTCCTCAGCTTCCCTCACTCCCTCGCCTAAACTCTTAAAGAGGTTTTTTTTATGGTCGGGGTCAAAACGGTGACCGGCTACCATATTCTTACCTCTCCACCATCTGTTTGTAGCGTGGGATGTCTCTGGCATACAGCAACTTGTTGATGGGAGAATCCTGCAGAGGACAAATGGAGAAACGTGTTCTGAGCATCACTAAAGACTATGATCCGGAGTTATCCCACTTTCAGGAATTATGTGATATATATATATATATATATATATATATATATATATATATATATATATATATATATATATATATATATATATATATATATATATATATACTTTTTTCTTTAGCAGGCCATATTGTGCAGAAGAGAAGATCTAGTTCAGGGGTGTCAAACTCATTTTAGCTCAGGGGCCACATTGAGGGAAATCTAGTCCCAATTGGGCCGGACCGGTAAATAAAAAAAAAACTTCAGATTGTTTTCTTTGTTTTAATACAATCAATATAAAACAAGGCTGGAGCCTGAGGACAGTGTAGTACAAGTACAACACCTGAAGTGTACTTGAAAATTTGAAAAAAAAAAATAAAAAAATCAATAAATAAAAAATACATTCCTTAGTGATTCAAATAGCTTACAGATCACATGGCAAGATCAGTTTCATGCGGCACTTAAAGTATATTTGACTCATTTTACTTTACATCTTTTAGCTTTCACCAGCACATCAATATCAGAAGTCACATCCTGAGTGGCGGCCAACTTCAGGATGTGATTCAAGTTCTTGTGTGAGCCTTGAGCGCAGCTTTGTTTTATTTATACTCATTACAGAGGAAACTTGCTCACAAAGATAAGTTTATTTTCACTCTACACTGTAAAGTATGAAAATAAAGTTTACACAACCATCTCGCGGGCCGCATGTTTGACACCCCTGATCTAGTTTGTCACCAGACAATGTGAACAAGCTGGTCTGCTTGAGTGACTGGTGGAAGGAGAAGTAGAGCTTGGACTGATTGACCAAATGCTACTGACTGTAAATAGTTAATCATGACCTATTCTGTAGACCTACAGTGCAGAATTTGTTGAACTGAATAAACAGCTATTAAACACAAATACTTATTGATCATTGTTTATTTTCATCATCAGTTATCGTAGTAAAACTGCTTTATCAGTCTGTGATGCATTATTGAAACAAGAAATACGCCTCCATTCTCAAAGACTTGCTTTTATTCTAGATAGCATACACATATATATGCCTTTGGCAGAATTTGAATGAGCCATTTTAATCTAGATTAATCTAAATTAATTCCAAGATTACAGTGAGATTAATCTAGATTAAAAAAAATTAATCTATGCCCACCACTAATATAATATACCGTAATTACCCGAATATAGGACGAGGTTTTTTTTTTATTAACAATTATGCAAAAGGGGGGGTCGTCTTATAATCGCCGACTAAGCAGAGGTCGTGGTGAGGTCATTGAACTAAAGAAGAAAAATGGCGGGGAGGAATCTGGAGTTAAGCGGATCTAAAACTAGGCAAGTTAACCAACAGCTGCGGCAGAGTTACGACGCAAACTTCAAAATGATGGTTGTCAACGCAGCAGAAGCAACTAACAACTGCCAGGCAGCCAGAAAATATGGCGTTACGGAGTGTAACGTCCGAAGATGGCGCATCCAGAAAGACCGTCTGAAAAATGCTAACAGCAAAAGAAAAGCTTTTCGTGGTCCACAACGCGGCCGCTTCCAAGAAATTGACAGGCGGGTGTGTGAGTTTGTTACTGAGAAACGTAATGAAGGTCTGCCCATTACCAGAGCAATCATCCAGCTCAAAGCCTTGAACATTGCCAAGGAGTTAAACATACCGACCACAGAGTTTAAAGCCAGCACCGGCTGGTGCATAAGGATGATGCGCCGGAGCGGCCTCGCGCTGCGACGCAGAACCAGCCTTGCCCAGCACCTGCCATCAGACTTCGCAGAGAAGCTGCAGTCTTTTCAGCGCTATGTGATTGGCTTGAGGAAAAAACACTCCTACACACTGGATCAGATCGGGAATGCCGACCAAACACCGGTGTTTTTTGACATGCCTACATCTGTGACTGTGCACAAAAAAGGTGAGAAGTCTGTTATTGTGAAGTCAACTGGAAATGAGAAGAATCGGATCACCGTCATGTTGGCGTGCCTGGCAGACGGGACTAAGTTGGCCCCGTATGTGATTTTAAAACGCAAAACTGTGCCGAAAGAGCCAATGCCAGCTGGCATTATTGTGAGAGCCCAGGAGAAAGGCTGGATGGAGAGCGAACTTGTGGTCGATTGGCTGAAAGTGGTGTGGGGAACGCGACGCGGCGCGCTCAGAAAAAAGAGAAACATGCTAATTATGGATGCGTTCCGTGGACACCTGACTGACGCTGTCAAAACTCAGGTGAGGAAGATGAACGGCGACCTGGTTATCATACCGGGCGGGATGACAAGCCAGCTGCAGGTGCTGGATGTGGTGGTTAACAAGCCTTTCAAGGACAACCTGCGCACGAGGTACACAGAGTGGCTCCTGTCCGGTGATCACGCTCTCACACCGTCTGGAAAAATTCAAAAACCGACTGTACATCGGCTTTGTGAATGGATCCTCCAGGCATGGGATGCAGTAACAGCAAAGAGCATCATCAACGGCTTTAAAAAGTGCTGCATATCCAATGCATTGGATGGCAGTGAGGATGACATTCTGTGGGAGGAGGCGGGACCGCAGCGTGAGAGTGACAGTGACTCTGAGCAGAGCGAAGCAGAGGACATCTGTGAGTAAATGCCTCATGCAGACTTTTGAAATAACTTGATTTGACATGTTAAGAGAAGTTCTTACAGTTTGACTACAGTGGGGATTTTTTTTTGTTCAGTAACATTTGTGTAAAGCACTTTGAGTTGGATTTTATTTGTTTGATTAAGTGCTATATAAATAACATTTGATTGATTTCCTGACAGAACCCCAAAAGCTTCATAACAGATTTTTGTGATTGCATTAATAGGTAAATATTAAAGTAGTCTGTAATTACGGTATTACTGTATTTACCAAAATTTTTCAAATATTAAATATTTTCTTTAAAAAGTGAATTTTGCCTTTTTCTTAAAATTAATCTCTTGGAAAGGGGGGTCGTCTTATAATAGGGGTCGTCCTATATTCGGGTAAATACGGTAATATATATATATATATATATATATATATATATATATATATATATATATATATATATATATATACACTGTATTTTTTTTTTTAGGAAACTGCTAAAGGAATGGTGTTGCCCTGTACTGGGATATAATGGTAAATAGCCTGTATTTGATATAACGCCTTCTAGAGTCCTCGAACCCCCAAGGCGCTTTACAACATAATCAGTCAATCACCAATTCACACACTTGTGGGGATGCGCTACGATGTAGCCACAGCTGCCCTGGGGTGCACTGACAGAGGTGAGGCTGCCGAGCACAGGCGCCATCAGTCCCTCCGACCACCACCAGCAGGCAACGTGGGTTAAGTGTCTTGCCCAAGGACACAAGGACAGTGACAGACTGAGCGGGACTCGAACCTGCAACCTTCCGATTACGGGGCGAGCACTTAACTCCTGTGTAGACAGTGCGTCAATGTTCTTTTTATTAAAAGCATCTGTTGTCCTGTGGAGCCCCATGCATTTTGAATTGACCGCTCCTCAGCATTAGCCAATAGCGTTAGACATCCGCTTACATACACATGTCAGCCACTGAGCATGTGCGTGCTTATGCAGAGTTGGTGACCTTTCTCATGCCTTAAAAAAAGGCAAATACTGTACGTATATGTTAACAGCACTACGTGAGTATAATAGTGTTAAAAGCTGTTTTAGTGCTGTTGGCTGGCTAACTTGTTGCTTCTTGAAGCAATGCCTCATAAATCTGGATTGGGTGATGACATTGTTCTAATTTTAGTCAAAACACTAAAACTAAATACAAAATTTCTGTCAAAATTAACACTGCTTTGAGCACAGGGATGATTTCACTGGTGTGCACTCACCCTTCCCAGTTTGTGGTCGGCAACCGTGCAGGAATCCATGAAGGTCTGGGAGATGACGGAGAGCACCGCATCAACGTTATCGGAGGTCTGCACATCAAAGATGAACTGCGGGTTCTTCAGGATGTTAATCCAGAACCGTAATGGTAAACTATTCATATGAATGGGGAAGACAAGAGAAATATTTAGGTACTATTGCAGGTTTTGGACCCATCATTTGTCTGAAGTATTTGATGTTGGATAGAACCTGTTGGTTTTCCAGATGTGGATGGTCTCTGGGTCTGTGATGCTGTGCTGCAGAGCCTGCTCATCCAGCAGGTCGAAGAAGTATTTGACAGCCAGAGGAACGGGGCGACTGGTGCTGAGGATGGCAGTGAATAAATCATCCACAAACTTTTGCAGAGTTCCCTGAGAGGAAGTGAAGAGGGTGACGAGAATGAGCATTAACGAACTGAGTCCAAAATTTTAACCGGAAAACCAAAAAATTCATTCATGAAGACAGACGACGGATATCGGGAATGGTAAACGTTCCGTCTTTCACCTTCATGGAGAGGAGCCGTGTGAGGAAGATCTCAGGAATGGCCTTTGCCCTTTCCCCGCCTTTTTCCCTCACGCTGCCTCTCCGGTGCTTCGGCAGCTCCGACTCATCGCTGGCTTTGACCAGATGCCAGAGCCTCACACCCCCTTCCTCCCCGTCATCTAGCATCGGAGTCTCTGATGAGAAAAGACAAACAGCTGAATGAGGACGAAAAAGTAAAACTCAGACGATTCATCCTTTTTATCATTTGTACCTAATAACTGATCTACTAATTCAACAGAAACAAAAAGTTTTCAAGCTTTCTAACGTTGCACAAACAGCCAAACAGCGACCCCCAGTGGCCATTTAGGTGATGTCAGCTTAGTAGAAATGAAAATAAAATATGAAACAAAATCTCTTTAAATTAAAAGCTTATCAGCCTTTAAGGGACTTTATCTAAACTAAATTCAGGTCTAAATTTATATTTGTGTTTGCTAAGATTTATTAGCTGTGGAGGCAAATCCCAACAATTCCTTAACCCTCTGGGGTCCAGGGTGTAATTTGCCGTTTTGACTAATTTAGAGTTTTCCTTTGTATTTCCAAAATAAAAAACCTTAACCACTGCCTCATGTGGCATCAATCTTTTCAGCACAACCTGGACTTTATGAATTTATACTTATTTTTTATACTTGGACATAAAGGGGTTGCATATTAGACCTTAAAATCACTCAAAAACATAAAATCTGAATTGGAAAAAAGTTTATTTTACTGTGAAACCAACAAACATTTATGACAAATGTTTTTCATAATTTAGAATTGTAATCTAGACTGTACATTTATAAAAAATATGAATAAATATAGCAAATAACAATTTTTTTTAACAATTTTTAGCCCTCTGGGGTCCAGGGTGTACATCACCATTTTTGACTCATTTTTTTTTTTTTTTGTATTTTCTAATAAAAACAACAAATATTGCCTAATGGGGTATCATTTTTTTCAGGACAACCTGGACTATCTGAATTTATAATTATTTTATTAATTTGGCAATAATACACATGCATTTTTGAGTGGGGAGTGGCTCTGCCTCATGCCGCGGAGATCGAGATCTGACAGCTGCGCGGCGCCGCCCACTCCTCTTGTTGGATCTCCGAGGAGCTGGATCTCTGCCTTCATCCTCTACCTCATCATGACCCAACTCTTCTATGAGGAAGGATGGATCTGCCACATCGTCATCAACATCCTCGCTATTTGCCTCAGACTCCGGCTGTGAGTCTCCGTCCACTTCCTCTGCTTCCTGTTCAAAAAACAGCCGTACGATCTGAACTGCCTGGTGGACATTTATCCTTCTCATCATCCTTTATATAAGCCTAATAAAAGCCTACTAAACTGCAGAGACAATATATCTGTCCGGATTGCTCCAAAATATGAAGTTTACCGTCAATATCTGTCTAATTGTTTGTTGTTACTCCGTTCGCGCCACTCCATTCCCCGCGAAGCGGCTCCTTTTTGCGCACATCTCGTTACTCGTGCGGCCTTCCTCTCTCTCTCAGCTACATAATGATACTTTTGATCAGTTGAATATGTGAGACTTCCACCAACAGCAAAAGGATCTCATGTTTTTGTTGGTTTTTTATGTTCACAAGCACATTCCCGCTCACGGATTACTAAACTGCTGTTTTGACAAGTTATCAGATTGTCTAAAAATAGGTCATTTTTTAGTTTAGCATAACTCCGCTTTTATGTTGCCTATTAATAAAATTTAAAAACTGGGGTGTAGTTTATATCTCCTTTTTAAAGCTGAATTGAAACCAAAACTCAGGGAGGCGGAGTCTTGCTGCTACAGCGTCCCAAATCAGACCTGTTCAAAAGACGCGGATAAGCGTCCATGGACCCCAGAGGGTTAAATACTTTATTAAGATCCATCTAGTAGTTGTTGTGATGTCACTGACTTACTCTCCCCCGGCATGTAATCATGGCTGTCATGCAGGTGATGTTTGTTGCTCCTGGGCACAAGGGCCACTGTTGCTCCATCAGGAACCTGCATCACAAAGACAGACAACCAGCTTTTCTTCATCCGTTCCACAAGCTTAGGGTTTAGTTTCACATTGAGCTGCACAGGTTCTGACCTTGTAGTGCTGCAATGTGTTGAGACGCTTCCAGGAGCCTTGGACTACCGACGTCAGGTCCTCATCCGAGAGAATCAGGTGACCCGCTACACCTGCGCGCCACTCTGAAGGAAAAGGAAAAGTTGCTTTTTTTGTCTCCCTTTGGAAGTATTCTTCACTTTAGATCAAAATTATCAGTTCTTATTTTTTCCCATTTAGATACCGAGAAAAACTTGTGATTCTTCTGCATTTGATGTCTAGAAATGACTATTTGCTTCGAAAAGAGATCAAATGAAGTAAAAATAACGTGAGCCTATCACTCAAAAAGGAAAATTGAGAATAAACTTCACAAACCGAGATGTAATGAGTCGACGTGCGGCCTCTGAGAAAAGGAAGTCCCTTTCCAGGTTTGTTCCAGAACCTTCTCCTTCACCTGCGTGATGGTGTCACAGTCCAGAACCTTAGCCGGTACCGTCTGGCTGCTGGTGCCTCCGCTGGCGGCCCCGGTCGGCGTAACGACGTTTAGAGTCTGGAGAAACAAACATAAGAGCTGTTGAGGACACCGCTGACTTTTAGTGAAACTTTGTCGTCTTTTAAATTAAAACTCAAAAACAAGCAGATGATGTGTAGAGCGGACGGAAAAAGCCCGCCTGTGCTCTCACCAGAGTGCGGTACTCCACGTCCTCTCGCAGCAGCCGGTTGTCGTTGAGGGTGTACTTGGCCTTTCCTGTCACGGCGTCCACGGGCCCCTTGTCCACCTGGTGTTTTATGGCTCTGAACAGCGTGTAGAACGATTCCCCCGCTGACTCCTGCTCAAGCGGAGAGATTTCGTTTGATCAGGAGGTTTGCAGGACAAGCTGGTCTCTTATCTCCTGGTCAGCCAAATTGTTTATTCACCACGTAGATAATTTAGAGTGGATTTATTTATTCATACAGTATTAGTGTTGCTCCGGCTGCTTATTTAATTGTGTAAGTTAATTATAATATTAATCTGACATGTGACTATATGTAACTACACTGCAAATACAAGAAAGTTGAAGAGCCTTTATTTGGGACATTTGATCTGAATTTAAAGGGACATTATGGAAGTTTGACAGCCAAAACATGTATAGAAATAATAAATGTCTTCATCATACGTTCTCCTGCAATGCCCTGGTCCTGTAGAATGAGCCCTGGCATTTTTACTGTGATTGCCTGTTTTTCTGTAAAATCACAGAAAAAGAGAGCTGCTTGGGTCGAGCAGGCTGCTTCATGCGCGTTCACGCTCAGGCATAGCCCGTAGCATTTGCTATCCGTAGATTTAGCAGCAGATAGTGAGGTAGTGCCAACTCAGCGCCTTTGTCGCTGTTCCTAACGCCTAGTGATGAACCTAGCTACATTTCTGAGGACCCTTTCTGTAGAACTTTTTTCTAGATATTTCCTGCAAATTAGCAACAAAATAGCCATTTTCACTCCGAACCGTTCTTTGGTTTGACGTTGTTTCAGGTGTCATAAAGGATATAAATGTTACAGATACAATATACATCACTGGTGCTTTAGCTCACCTAATAAGACGTCAGACTCTCACACAGGAGACCTGGGTTTGATTCTGGATGTGAACATAGTTCATTTAGAGTTTCTTTTTTTACATTAATGGTATTTTTTTACAGTAAGACGACCAAATTTTTATTTGAGACTCGCCAAACGGCATTGAATTCACAGATAAAAAAGATGTGGGTTCAATTGTCATTTTGGAACAATTTTTCAAGCAAGGGAAGGGAATGATCTGAGCATGCAGGAGGACTGACCCATCTTAAACCTTTGTCGGCTGTGCTGAAGAGAAAGGTACAGAACCAAATTATTTAATTAATTAGCTTCGTGTTCTCCTGTCCTCCGGGCAACACACACACGGAGCTGACTGTCTCAGCTGTTATTTTCGTTAAGGAGTGTGCACGTACAGCATGCGCGCCTCGTGCACGAGCCTACTATTGAAGCTGCCATTACGCTTTTGGCCTGAGGGGGCAATCGCGAGCATAAAATTTCAAAACTCTGTAAAGTCCCTTTAAATCGAAAAAGAATAAAAGAATTGTGTCTATAATAACAGCACTAGTTGAAAATGGGTAAATATTCATAAATAGGATCAAATTTTCTTTATTGAAAAAAAAAAACAAATTTACCTTATGTTAGATTTATTTGCTAGCTAGTTTTGGTTTTGCAGATTCAAATAAAAAAAAGGGAAAAGTTGAATAAAAAGCTTTTATTTATTTATTTTACTTCTGTCAGGAAATAATTTTTTACAGTGTAAAAGTGGAGCCACTGTGAAGGTTACCGCGTCGTCACTTCTGAAATCACCTCCACAAACCTTTAAAAACATGTTTTTTCAGTGTTTGATATTCAGCAGTTAGGAATTAATTTTTTTATGTTTTTGTTAAAAGACACAGAGCGAAAATGTCAACTCCATCCATGATGACCTAAATGTACTACAGTAGAGTCAGACACTTGCCTATTTGCATCTTTTTACAACAGATCTTACACACTCACCTAAAGGATTATTAGGAACACCACACTAATATGGTGTTTCACCCCCTTTCGCCTTCAGAACTGCCTTAACTCTATGTGGCGTTGATTCAACAAGGTGCTGAAAGCATCTTTAGAAATGTTGGTCCATACTGATAGGACAGCATCTTGCAGCTGATGGAGATGTGTGGGTTGCACATCCAGGGCACGAAGCTCCCGTTCCACCTCATCCCAAAGATGCTCCATCGGGTTGAGATCTGGTGACTGTGGAGGCCGTTGTAGTACAGTGAACTCATCATCATGTTCAAGAAACCAATTAGAAATGATTGGAGCTTTATGACATGGTGCATTATCCTGCTGGAAGTAGCGTCAGAGGATGGGTACACGGTTGGCAATTCATAACTTCATTTTTTTAAAGTCGACAGTCAAGTAATGAAAATCTAGTCGACTTTGACTGGTCATTGATGACGTCATACACCTGAAGCGGCTAAAACTGACGATGGGTGACCAAGCGTTTTTTCCCGACGCACGTCGGGAGGCGACGCTCTGGCACAGCTCGTTGCTTTTAGACGCCTGCGGTACAACGGCGATTTGAACGAATTGTGACCTTTACCCTCTTGCTATTTAAACTTCCATTCACTCCCATCCTAACCTTTACCCAGCATGTCAGTCTAAATTTTCCGTTAAGTGTGTTTGAGAGGAACGATGAAACATGAAACAAAGCTTTGCATGCGCAAGCTGGTTAAGGTTAGGATGGGGGTGAGGGGAAGGTTAAATTGCAAGAGGGTAAAGGTCACAATTCGGTCAAATGTCCGTTTTATCGCGGGCGTCAGATACCGACTCTCTGGCACAGCGTGTCGCCTCCCGACACTCAGGGGCTCGTCACCTGCTGTCTTTTCCGAGGACTCCATCTTGTCGGTCATTGTCACGTGACAGCGACTAGTCTATGAAATGCATAAAAAGTCACTACAGAGCAGTGAAGCCGACTAGTTGATACAAGCCCTAAATATGGTGGTCATGAAGGGATGGACATGGTCAGAAACAATGCCCGTGGCATTTTAACCATGCCCAGTTGGCACTAAGGTGCCAAGATAACATCCCCACACCATGACACCACCACCAGCAGCCTGCACAGTGGTAACAAGGCATGATGGATCCATGTTCTCATTCTGTTTACGCCAAATTCTGACTCTACCATGAATGTCTCAACAGAAATGGAGACTCATCAGACCAGGCAACATTTTTCCAGTCTTTAACTGTCCAGTTTTGGTGAGCTGGTGCAAACTGCAGCCTCTTTCTCCTATTTGTAGTGGAGATGAGTGGTACCCGGTGGGGTCTTCTGCTGTTGTAGCCCATCCGCCTCAAGGTTGTGGCTTCACAAATGCTTTGCTGCGTTGCTCGGTTGTAACGAGGGGTTATTTCAGTCAGAGTTGCTCTTCTATCAGCTTGAATCAGTCGGCCCATTCTCCTCTGACCTCTAGCATCAACAAGGATTTAGCGCCCACAGGACTGGATGTTTTTCCCTTTTCACACCATTCTTTGTAACCCTAGAAATGGTTGTGGGTGAAAATCCCAGTAACTGAGCAGGTTGGGAAATGCTCAGACCGGCCCGTCTGGCACCAACAACATGGCTTAAATCACCTTTCTTTCCCATTCTGACCTTCAGTTTAGAGCTCAGGAGATCGTCTTGACCAGGACCACACCCCTTAATGCATTGACGCAACTGCCGTGTGATTGGTTGATTAGATAATTGCATTAAGGAGAAGCTGAACAGGTGTTCCTAATCCTTTAGGTGAGGTGTATTTTACAAAAGAAGAATTTAGTCACAAGACAGAAAGTAAAAGTCTTTTAACATAAGAAAATGTTTATAAACCAGGTCTTTCATCCTCCTGAAACAGCATCCTCATGTGATCAAGATGTTTTTTTTTTTGTTTTTGGCACAATAATATTTCCTTTAGCTTAACTTAGATCTGCTATTAACATTCAGAAATATTTGGTTTGTATAATTTTTATTTGCAATTATAAAATTTAGTTATTCAGTAATTAAAAGTAGTAAAATTTTTATTTCATTTTAAGAAATGATTTGACAAAAAATCTGCTTTATATTTGTCAGTTAGGATGAATGAAATAGGGTTCACGGGTCTTAGGAGAATCATTTTCATTTGTCATTAGCTTAGCGAGCAGGTGGTGAGATGTAGAAATCCTGCAGGACAAACCCTCAGAAAGGTGAAGAGACAAATGGACATCCAGTTTGTCAGCAGCTTCTCCACCACTGATTCCGTTCTGGGAGGGAAGATACAAACAAAACGATATTCTATAGATGAGAAACAAACATAAAATCCTCATCCAGTCACACTCACATCGAGTTCCTCACCTCCTCAGCATAAGTTTGGGGTTCTTGGCCACATACTGCTCCACCAGGTCGTTAAGCAGCGTCTTCAGGATGTCTGTGAAGTACTCCAGTTTACCGTGCAGGGCTACGGTAAGCAAAGAGGCCACGTAAGCCCGGTCTCTGGGGGAAAATGTCCGCTGGGTCTCAAGAGTGTGAATAAACTGGAGGGAGATGTGAAGCGTGGTTGTCACGCAAAGCTAATTCATTTAAAAATAAGACACTATTAAAACGGAAGAAGTTAGTTTGCTGACTTTGGTGAGGAAGAGTTTGCTGTTGAGCAGGTTGGACAGCTGAACAAGTCCCTGCTCTACCGTCTGTCTCCGACTTTCCGGGATGTCCAGATCTCGTCTCAGTGGCGACTCCTGATGGCCCGGGAAGAAAATTCGCTCTGCGTATGCTCTGTAGTCGAGGAAGGGAATTCCTGAACCCACCAAGTCGCTGGACATGTCCATCATCTCCGTCATCAGATCTAAGAACGTGAACACGAGTCTCGGTTTGTGTTTGTAGTTTATTCTTAGGGAGACCGTTAAGTACAAGAAACCAGGAAGTACCTGTGAACTCCTTCTTACAGCGGTCCCGGACACTCGTCTCCAGGTTTTCCAGCTGGATCTGAACCTTTTTGTAGTCCCTCATGGCCTGTTTACTCTTTCTCCTGACAAACCGGAAAGCAGAAACCCGTTAATACAGTTGAACTTTTGTTTTTTTATGAAGATTGGGTATTTTCATGGTTACCTGTAAATAAGCACTATGATGAGTACAATGAGAGCCACAATGGAGGCTCCCACCCCGACTCCCACCTGAGCCTCCAGAGGAAATGTAGACTGTGCCTGAATGTCATACTGGACTCTTCCCAGGCTGAAGTTCAGGTTTCCCATTCTCACCTGGAAGACATGTTAGGTTCAACGTATTGCTCATATCAGACAGGGATGTCCCAATCACATGATTTTGAGTGTTTGCTGATACCGAGTTTCTATCTGATACTTTAGCAATGCATTTGAAATAAAAAGGGAGAATCCATCCCAGTTGTGCTTTAAGTATTTTTTTTTTTGTTCCTATTTATCAATTTTATGCCAAAAAGAAACCCCACTCATTTAGGAATAAAGGAAACTCATCCCATGGCTCCAGGAGACTGTGAAACACGACGCTTGCAGCCACAGACGGACTTCCAGTGAGACAAATACAGCTGTCTTCAACATTTTTTTGTCTGTAGGCAACTTCTCAGTTTTTCTAACGTAACTTTCAGCGTCGGCCAGCTCCGTATTTTTGTCCGAGTTACCGCCGTGAACTGTGAGCTCTAATGGTGATGGTGTTTTAAAGGAGGCAGACTAGCACTGAATGGAGACAGGTGATTGGCTGTGGTGGCACAGAAACAGCAGTGTGTTTTTAAGGAGATGTATCAGATTCGTAGTTTAGATTTCAGCTCCACATGAAAAGCCCAGGAAGACATTACAAGTGGCTGTTTCACTGCCTTTGTTTTTGCAAGGGCGTCAGTTTGTGTTTACCATTGCTGCATGGGGGCAATAACAATAAACGTCAATGTGGTTTTAATATAATGCTGGGGACCACTATTATTAATCGTTCATATATAAATATGAGTAGGGGCTGCATGACTTCACTATTTTTAAAGTCGACCGTCAAGTAATGAAAATCGAATCGACTTTGACTTGTCGTTGATGTCATACACCTGAAGTGGCTAAAACTGACGATAGGTGACCGCTGGACAATTAAAATTGTGCCCACCCACATTTTCTAAGTTAAACACATCTCTTTTAACAACGGTAGTTTTTGCATCTTTACTGTTCCCCTGCTTCAGCCATCTCCCCCCTCCCCCTGTGCAGCGGCCGCAAACTCACTGATGCGCCTGCAGCCTCTCAGAGTTCCTGCAGCTCTAAACATTAAAATAATTATTTCATTTTCTGTTCCTCACTTCTGATTACCTTCAGTGGTGTTTGTTTGTTGCAACCACCAGGTAAAAAAACAAACTTGTTTTTATTTGACTATTTTTCTGTTTATTATCTTCCTGCATCTCCTCTCAACCCTAAAGAAAAGCTGCAACCTGGCTTCATATATATTCACCTTATGAGTTACCTTTGAACTGCAGTTTCTAAAAGATCTACCGACCGCAAAAACAGCGGAGTGCTCGCTGGCCGCACCAGTGAGGTGAGGTCACCGGAGGACAAAACAGGTGATGCGCTCCGCTCCACAGCAGCGAAACGCATCAGGCACAAATAAAAGACAGAAAACATAAAAGGAAATGAGCCAACATGAACGATTGCGTGTTAAATTAGTTTTTGAGGTGGCGACACCTGATTTGATAATGTTACTGTGGCCGTGCTCAGGACGCAGATGTCTGGAGAGCGTCAACGATCAGAGCTTTGCATGCGCAAGCTGGTTAAGGTTAGGATGGGGGTGAGGGGAAGGTTAAATTGCAAGAGGGTAAACGTCACAATTTGGTTAAATGTCCGTTTTACGGCGGGCGTCAGTACCGACGCTCTGGCACAGCACAGGGGCTCGTCACCTGCTGTCTTTTCCGAGGACCGCATCTTGTCGGTCATTATCACGTGACAGCGACTAGTCGATGACAGGCATAAAAAGTCACTACAGAGCAGTGAAGTCGACTAGTTCATACAACCCCTAAATGAGTATTTGTCTGTTTAACCTTTCATTAAAAACCCTGTTTAGGTTAAACTTGACATGAGAACTTCTTGATTCTTCAGACTGAGACAGATGTGCTACAACTCAGAAAATGTCTGGAACTCACGGTGAACTCGGGCAGACTGTCCAAGCCGTCCTGCTTCTGGCTGGCTGGGACCGAGGGCTGATGGGCTGGTGGTTCACAGTACAGGTGGTTGTGTGTCAAAGTCTTCACCACACAAGTGCCCTCCCCAATCCGAGCCTCCACCTCCTGCTTGAACATGGCGAGATCCAGAAACTCCCCCTAGAAGTGCAGATGCAACATTTCTGAGCTGCCCAACTGTAGACAAAGCCGATTATATCAGAGTCGCTGCCGCTCACCTCCACAGAGATGATGCTGCCAGGTTTGTGGTGGTACGGTTTGCTCGGGTCGTTCTTGTTCAGCTTGTGGAGTTTGGGGTTGGGCTCGTAGCTGAAAGCTTCACTACTCACGTTACTGAAGTCAAATTGGAGGCTGTCCAATAGGAAGTGAACTTTGACCTTGGCCCTTTTGGCCTCCGGACCCACAGCAGGCGTCGGACACATGATAAGAGAGGAGTTGTTCACCATGCAGCCTGTTTCATACTGAAGGAGAAGACAGAGGTTGGATCAACAATGTAAGAGAAATAAATAATGATGTTCTTCACACGGACGCACATGTTTGACGCGGCACAGCGTCCCCTCGGGACACTTCGCCTCGGGGACAATCCTCCTCCATCTTTTCTGTGGACCACGGTGATCCTGTCCTCTGGTCGGGTGTTTGTTGTTCTTTGTCTTGATGCTCCTTTTCCTTCTGGGAGGGAGAGCATCAGGAGGACTGAGGGTCACCCTCATTTTGGGCCCCTGGACCACGTCCAGGTTGTGACCAGAGACTCGTATGATCCTTCCGCCACTAGACGTCCAACATGAATCACAAAACATCGTCAGTCTTCACAGTTCAGAGGGAATTCGTCTCATACTGGTATTAAAATAAAATAAAATAAACTGTTTACGATTTTTAGGAATGAAGTGACTTAATAAGAACATCAGGGTAGTTAAAAGAAGTTACCTTTTTGGTTTTGTTGAATGCACCATTTTCCAATCTGTCGTTTTGTTTTTCTCATATTGATTTCAAACAAATAAACAATACATGTACCGTATTTTCCAAACTATAAGCCGCTACTTTTTCCCCACGCTTTGAACCATGCGGCTTATAATGAGGTGCGGCTTTACTGAAGATGTATTTTCCCTCACCTGCCAGGGGGCGCTTTAGCAAAAAGTGAAACAGATGGAAGTCAAAAGTGGAAATCGAAGAAAGTGCTCATTTTAATTTAGCACATGCAAGCAGCCGGCACGACCAAGATTTTTTTTCAAATCCATACCCCCTCATCATGCTAACTACACGTATGAGTTCATATGATGCCGCATTTAAGTTGAAGGCCATCGATCTGGCAGTAAAGGAGGGAAGGCTGGATGGGTGAATTTCTTCATCAGAGTCAATATTCTGCTTCGTAATCAGAGTCAGTCATGACCAGACAAAGTGATCAGTCAACAAAGACCAGACCTGCCGGCAATTATACGTTTTATCTAATATTTGCGCTCTTCATGCTGCGCACATCTCCTCCTCTCCCCGACTGGGAGCCTCTCGGCGGGAGGCGATTTTCAAACTCTAAAAACTCCCAAACTTTGCTCAGCCTGAAGGTTACACATCTCCACTATCTTCTGGTGTAAAGTAGTAACTTCATGAGGGATCATATTTGTAGATGAGACTTGTTAAAGTCAGCAATGAGGCTTTGGCGCTTGTAACGAGTAAGTCCCAACACTGACAACAAAGTACTGACTCTAGAACCAACAGACAGATCGGTCCCGCCTACTTACACTGTTGGTCTTTTTTAAATACGCAATAATCGTTGCTTGCCTTTTTCGCTTCATCCTGCATCCTAGCAGCAACCACTTTGGCGCCTCTGGAGTCGGTGTTTGTTTACATCATGCTGCATTCAATGTAATTGGAAAAAGGAGCTTCAAGCGCATAACCTCCGATTTTGTTTTCTTTCTGGCCTTAGTTGGGGGGACAGATCGGGGTCGATCTGAATCTGGAGAGGACAGATCCCCCCCGTCCCCCACCCTATCTGCACGCCTGAGCATCACCCTAAACCCTATCACAAAAGACACAAATTAAATTTAAAATCTTTAGATTTTTATAATCAGATGAACTTATTTGATCCTGTCTGTGAAACAAGTCAATTTTGTACAAAACATGTAAAAATAAAAAAATAAAAAATTCCAAATGTTGCAAACGTTTATTTTAAAATTGCAAATGTTAATACTTATTTCTCCTCTATTGCTAAATGAACGTCTTGGATTAAACATGTCTCGGAGCAGTTTTTGTAAGTGGAGGCGTTGACGTAAACCTGAGTCAGCACGACACGTGTGATCTGAAGTTCACACAGACATGAGCAGATACGTAATTCTTATTTTAGTTTGGAAACCTGAACTTCTGCAGAAAGCACCGATCTCACTCCTTCACCTGAGAAAGCTTTTGGACGGCGCGGCCTTTGTGATGTTTGGGTCTGGAGTGTAATGATACACCAAACCCTCTAGATGGCGGTCCGCTCCACCAAACCGTACAGCAACGTTGTGCACTCCTGTCCTGTTGCTGCCTCTGGTCCGACAGTTGATTTTATCTTCTTGGATGTTCAGCCTAAACAGATGTTTTATTTATTTCACATATTTTTCTGTAGTTTCTGACAGAAAAGATGAATTCTAAACAGTTTTTTCTCCCTTTCTTATCCCAATGGGAACACTTACACGGTGCAAGACACCCCTCCAATCAGGACGCTGACTTCACTCGGATGTCCCGTCTTCAGTCTCCGACCTTCAATGGTGAGAATTGACCCCCCCGCTTTGGGCCCCCTTTGAGGAAAGATGCGGATGAGAGCGGGATTCTGGAAAGAAGAACAGGATCGTGAAGAATATTCAGTTTGAGATGCAAGGAGGCAGGGAGCAAAGACGAGGAAAACGTTGGATCAATAAACCGATACTGAGCGTGTGATTTATTGGGAAGATAAAACGAACCACTGAGGAATTCTGGGAAACACTTGAAGGTTGCCACACACTCATGTCCTCTACTAATTAATTTCTGTGTAACGTGGGACGATTACTCAAGCCCGCTCTTACAGACTCAGCCCTTTCAGGACGGTGTAAATAAGCGTTGTCTCACCATTAAACCCTGAAGAAGTGAACGCTAATTAAGACGAGCTGCCATTTCCTTAATTGAACCCTGAAACGGGAATGTTAATGCAGGATTTTCTCCAGTGCTGACCCTAGTTGCCTCACTCGTGTACCACATTCTTTAAATGACGCGTTTCAGTGTTTGTTTTTCTAAAAATACCACGGGACCCCCCCACCCCACCCCCATCCCCCCTGTCAGCCAGGCAGTGGTCCGCTCCACACCCACGAGCGATTACTGTGATCTTTTATGTGCAAGTCGACCGAAACTCTGGGGGGAAACGTGCCAAAACCCAAAGCAGCTCCGGTCTTTGAAGCGAGTGTAAAAACACTCAGGAGATTTCTTTGTTATAAGAATTGATTCTGCATTGCTGCAGAATGTTGCTGTAAACAACAACACATGTTTGTGAGCATTTACTCTTCTTTTAGAGCTCATTTCTCAGCAGATTTTTCTACTTTTGGTACAAATATCCATAAATGAAGGACTTGAATGTTGAGAAACGTGGTGGAATGAGGTGAAAGCAGGAAATGACCAGTTTAGCTGTTTAGATCATGTTGAAGTGGAGAACACCAACGTGCACGTTTTGTTTTATTTACAGATTTATTCAACCTCCTGTTGAGGGAAAGTGACACTGACCTGAAAACTGAACGTCTGAGCTGAACGCCCGAGTCCTCCCCCTCTCACTTCCACTGAGGCGGGGCCGACCCTCTCCCCCCGACTCGCTCCAGTCTCACACACAATCCTGGAGGATGCCATCACAGAGCTGGCATTAGAAAAGGTGTGTGTGTGTGTGTGTGTGTCCGTGTGTGTGTGTGTCCGTGTGTGTGTGTGTGTCCGTATGTGTGTGTGTGTCCGTGTGTGTGCGTGTGTCCGTGTGTGTGCGTGTGTCCGTGTGTGTGTGTGTGTCCGTGTGTGTGTGTGTCCGTGTGTGTATCCGTGTGTGTGTGTGTGCTTGTAGCTGTGTGTGTGTGTGTGTGTGTGTGTGTGTGCATCCGTATGAGTGTCTGTGTGTGTGTGTGTGTGTGAGTGTGAGTGTGTGTGTGCTTGTAGGTGAGTGTGTGTGTGCGTGTGTGCTTGTAGGTGAGTGTGTGTGTGCGTGTGTGCTTGTAGGTGTGTGTATGTGTGCTTGTAGGTTTGTGCGTGCGTGCATATGTGTATCCATGTGTGTGTGTGTGTTTGTGAGTGAGTGAGTGAGTGAGTGAGTGAGTGAGTGAGAGAGATGGCAGCTTGCCTCGAGGAAACTTCATATCTGCTGTGGATGACGTTGCACGACACTCCAGCGACTGTGACTGAATTCTCGATGTCTTCGGCTCTTTGCCCGAGGTTAGAGCCTGAAATGGTCACGACTGTCCCGCCTTCGACTGGACCGGACACCGGGTCCAACTGGAACACAAAAACACAACAAATGCAACAGTTTTGACAGTTAGACTCAAAACACAGTAAATTTTCTGCCCTTCATTTTATCTCCGTAAATAACAAACCTGGAGGAGTTCTGCTTTGTGGTGGAGTTGCTAATGCTAATGGTTAGCTTGCTATCAGTTCAGGCTTTTTTAATCTTAGAGCTTCACTGACTACTTTCTATCAGAATCTAATGCAGAAGAGAGGTGTAGCAGACTTCGTGTTCAGCCTCCATGAAAAACTCAAGAGTGACGATTAGAATGTTTTGTTGGGGTGACTTTGACCTTTAAGTTGGTCATAAAAGTTTATCTGAATGAATCAAAATAAAAACTGAATAATTACTCACGAAGTGTATGACCGGCGCAGGGCAGGTGTGTTTGATCTCATCAGTGCAGGAGTCTTGATAAACACACCGAGAACCGGCAGCTCCACCGCACCACACGCAGCCGTACTTCGGGTCGGCAGTTCGACAGCGGCTGCAGTCGGACCGGCTCACAGAACAGTTGAACAGAGTCACTAAAGAAACGGTTAGAAGGAAACAGGGTTAGGGATGCCGATGTGGCAGTGTGAGCGTCCTGTCACAGTGTCTCAATTGATCATGCGCCCTGGCTACTTGGCCAAGGGATGTCCCTTTGGCTGACTGGTTAGCGCGCGTGACTCTCACCCGGGAGTCTGGGGATCTAATCCCGCCCAAACCCTCGTTTCTCCACCTTGCCACACTAAAAAACAAAAACACACGACTCACCGTACAGATCTTCAGCGCTGTCGATGAGGAAGTTGTTTTTCCTCCTCACGTTGATCGTGGCTGGGTATTCCTCCATCGAGAGGGAATACGCGTACTGCAACAACGCATCGGATTAGCATTACTGATACTGATGACTATGCAGGGAGAATGAAAGGATGTGAGTCCTCTGACTGGCTGATCGTTTCTGACCTGGTGTGATTGGCAGGTGATGAAGTAGAGTGATGGCACAGAAGCATCTGGCTCTACCGAGGCCTCCACCACCACGGACTGGTTCTCGATGTCCAACACGCACTCGTAGTCCAAAGTCTCGTCCTGATTGTGTTCAAAAACCCAGATCATGTTAGCATCTACTCAAAGATGATTAAAACTATGATTAGGTTTGGTTTTTTCACCGTGGAGATGAAAAGGCTGATGTGTTTTTTACCTGAAACAGGTTCAAGTGTTGGCCCACTAGCGTGATCTTCCTCTCCACGTTGACCGGAAGGAGAGGAGAATCCCGGACACTCTCCACACACGGACATTCCTGATGGTGCATCACCAAAAAGAAGAGCAATGTTTATACCCAAAGGGATTTCTGGAGCAATATGAAGAGTGTTTCTGTGTAAACGTTGTGGTGTGTGTAACTTCCTCTGTCTGGAGAAATGGAGTTTATACACTGATGAGCTCACAGAAAGTTTATCAATGCAGTCATGAAACGGCTCACACCCCCCAAATGTCCTAGCAGTACGTCCTAAACTATTTTCTTCAACATTTATTTCACCATTACAGTCACGTTGTTATTCCAGCAGAAATATTATGACATTTGTTCTAGAAGTGACCCCAGGAAGTGCTGCCGTTGGTGAGATTTATACTCATAAACAGAAGTCCATCCAAACAACCATGTGATGCTAATTTGATGACACAAAGGTTTACAAAAGTATGCATGAACCATTATTAAGACATTGTCAGAAAACCCAACTTATCTACTAGAATCTAAGCTCTTTATTCATTTTAGATCTTCTCTAGGGTTAATTCTGTACTGGTACTGTGCATAGGGGCGCTGCCATGAGGCTTAATGAACTGTTACCATTTCCTTTGACTAGAAGATGAACGATTAAATAATCTTTCTTCTAAATCTCCACAAACAGAACACTCCAGTTGAGGTCAGAAATGGGACAAACGAGACTGGCTTCCCATTTACCACATCAAGATATGCTTGTTAGACAATCTCTATGGAAAATTAAATGATCTGCATACTCTTTCCAGTAAGAAAAATGATACCCTTTAGCACAAATTAAATCAGGCCATTGATTATTCCGCCTCATACGTAAACAGATATGCAAACAAACTAGACAACAACCAACATAAAAGCACGCATACCAGCAATGAAGCCCCATGGGCAAGTGAGTTTGGAGATAGGGACAGACCACTGGCTTGTGGAGGGAACCGCTGAGTTAGCGTGATGCTACTTGCCAGTTGCAGTAAATGAGGTGACCAGAAACAATATGGAGAGGGTAGATTGGTCAATGAACCTGTCAGCTTTAAATTACTCGGCTGCATCTTCACATTTGAGATTACATTGATTTTGTGTCGGTCAGGTCTGGATTTGTAGAGAGGAGAAGCTTTACAGCCAACTGCAGCTGAAGCGAGTTACTCGGTTTAGTACGCCGCGGTGAGCGACTGCACATTACGGCTCCTGTCTTTGTGGTTAATTAAGGCACACTGGTGAAGCTGTTCAGTCATCCAGGTCGCAGCTTGGTGCTCAAACTAAAAGAGCAAGGGCCTTCTTCTGTGTTTTTCTTTTATTTGTATCTCAATTTTAAAGAACTTTTAAACGAGTAGATTAAACCTTCTAAAGTCCAGTTGCTTTCCTTTGAAGAAGCAAGGAAAAACGACATTTCTCTAAACTAATTTATTTTTGAGTTTAAATTTCAGCCATTATGTAAAGGCTCCTCTGGGCTGCAGCTGTTGGAGATGAATCAAAAACATCATTGCAGAGAGATATTCCAAAAAGGTTTAAAAGGGTTTTTTCTATTCCTTTGTCGCTGGAATTTTGAACTCTTCTTGGAAAAGAAACTGGCGCAGTAAATTCCTGAAAGCAGTTCTAGTTGTTACAGGGCATCTGAACTTGCGTCAAACCTTTTTGTCTAAATCTAGTTACTCAAAAAATCAAATACGTATTGGGAGGGGTGTGTGATTAAATGGCAACATTTCGGACAGCAAGCTATGAGTCTATCGACTGTCATTCATAGTCTGGAATTTCCCAGTACATCCAGGAACATTTTTCTTTGTTTTCCTCTCATCCAACGGGGACGTTAGTAATAGACTGGTCTAGAGTTAGCGGTAGCTCCCCGCTAACGTTAGCAGTTGAATGGTCTAGGCTCTAGACACAAGCTACCACTAACTCTAGACTCTAGGGTTAGCTGTAGCCCCAGTTAGCGGTAGCAGTTGACTGGGCAAGGCCCTTGGCTCTAGGCTCAAGTTACCACTAACTCTAGACTCTAGGGTTAGCTGTAGCCCCAGCTAGCGGTAGCAGTTGACTGGGCAAGGCCCTTGGCTCTAGGCTCAAGCTACCACTAACTCTAGTCTCTAGGGTTAGCTATAGCTCCAGCTAGCATTACTGCCACCAAAGCTTATATATTGCTGAAGCTGAGGTGGGTTGTGACATATAAGGGTGCATGTCTGTGCGTATGATGTGTGAAACCCAGTTCTCCGTGGTCATTACGATGTTACTAACAGCACAGACTTTTTGGCTGTCTAGACTGAAAAAGGAAAATGTGGTTTTGAACTCTGAGAAATCTTTAAGATGCAGCCTTTACTATCTGTTTTAAAAACATTAAAGTATGGCTAAGATGCTATTTAGGAGAAATACTGAAACAAAGGCAAACAGTCTGCATAGCTCTCATACATAAACTAACTCAACAAGTTACAACCTGCATGTTAAAATAATTATCAATGTGTTGAGAAGAGCCATTCAGAGTCTCCCTCCAAGCTAACCTTTCAGTACCAGGGGTTTCATCTTTGCAGATATAAATGTTTTAATAACCCTGCCAGCATGTGTTTTTTTTTTTTGTGGTGATCTGCAGAACATTTTTTTGCGGCAGCTCCAACCACTCACCAGAACCAAAGACTCAGAATCAGATTGGATGCTGGCTGGAGATTCTGTGTTGGGGTCAATGAATGTTTCAGTCAAGATGACCGAATGAGCGATAGACGTAACCGTTTCAGAGTCCACCTCTGTCTCCATCTCAGGCTCCCCCCACCCATCCACACTCAGAGGTGAGACATTCTCTGCAGAGGTGGCGAGAAGAATGTCTTCCTTGTCCTCGCTGACAGAGAGCTCTATTAAAGGAACCACTTCACTGGAAGTAGTTGAGCTCATCTCAAAAGAAGAGCCCATTGCTTCACCAGATGGCTCTAAAAATCTCAGCAAAGTGTCTAGGTGGCCACTAGTGGTGCTGGGTAATGTAGTGTGGGTAATTTCCTCTGTGATATTGAAGATGCCGGGATCTTCGTCCTCGAAGGAGCCACTTATGGCAGCACCAGCTTCTGCCGTCGTTTCCTCCACATCGTAGGGACGCCCATCTGTGGTGGCATCGGGGTGAGTGGTGCTGGCCTGGGGGGAGATCCTGACAAAAGGGGATGTTGTGGAGAGGGTTGCTGGCATGGTGGGTTCAGCGTGAGGACTGGTGGGAGGTGTCACTGTTGTGGTGGATGTGGGAACAGCTGTTGTGGCGGGGGCGGATGCCTCTGTGAGTGGTGGCTGTGTTGTTGTTGTTGTTGTTGTTTGGGCCGTTGGAACAGAAGGAGGTGATGATGGAGGTGTTCTGGTCAGGGGTGGGACGGTGGGTGTTGATGGTTTAAACTTGTTGATGGAGAAGTAAACAAATGAGGAAAAGAGAAGACAAGAAAAAAAGCAAGGGCAAGACAAAATTAGGATAAAACAAAAAGGGTTTTGCAAAAGCATAGCAAAATAACTCAAGAGTGGTGTGGTTTAAATCAAAAATAATACCGGACAGGACAAACGGCATGATGCTCAGACAAGTACGGCAGCTGATGGGATTAAAAACGTAGCCAACGTCTCCTAACTCAGACTTATCCGTGACTCACATGTTGGTTGTAGATGGTGAATCCTTGGCTGCAGGTGTGCCTATGTGTGCAGACATGCTCGCGGATGCACCAATTACACCCCCAGCGACTGCTAACACACCCTTGGCATCTGGCAGAGCACACAGCAGGAATGCAGGTAAATCATCAAACAGCATCACAGATCACAGCTAACATCCAAAGCAATCTCAATGTTTCAAGAACACATTTAGTTGATTTTCTATAGTTCCTTAATAAAAGACACATATTTGGCTTCTGATGTTAAAACAATATTCTATCAGAGACACCTTGCAGCCATAGATGATGCACTTTCATTTGGAGTAGATCTGACAACACAAACAGGTAGCTGGATGCTTGTTTACTCACGGTCTGCGCCCTGACAGCTCCTGCACCAAGCTGCAGTTGTAGAAGGTGAATTCTGTCTCGGCTACCGTCACGTTAACGAAACGCAGCGACAAGGTCACCATCACAAACTCTGCATAGGAGCCAAACCAGTTGTCAGATTTCAAATGATCCTATTGTGCTGTTAGCTTATCTGGGTTTCAGACCAAATTCTAACATCTTCAGAGAAGTTTCAGCATTTCCACTGACTAGAGGTGTGTGTGTGGTGTGGAAGAAACAGTCTTGCCAGATTATGACTATTTTTAGACATTGAATTTAGGGACAGCAGTAGCTCAGAGGTAGCGCCGGTTGTCCAGTAACCGGAAGGTTGTAGGTTCAATCCCAGCTTCGAACGGAGAATGCTGCTGTTGTGTCCTTGGGCAAGACACTTAACCCACCCTGCCTGCTGGTGGTGGTCCGAGGGACCGATGGCGCCAGTGCTCGGCAGCCTCGCCTCTGTCAATGCACCCCATGGCAGCTGTGGCTACATTGTAACTCATCCCCACCAATGTGAGAATGACCGACTGTGTTGTGCAGCGCCTTGGGGGGGTTGTAGAACCCTAAGAAGACGCTATACAAATACAAGCTGTTTATCATTTAATGACATTGAAATTTCATTATGTGAAATTTGTATTTGAATGTTTTTTCTGTAAATCTGTAAACATTCAACTGCAGAATTTCATCAACAACATTTCAATGATAAAATTTCTACTTTAAAAATTCAACAATGAACGTGACCTCCTGGTGACCCAAAACGAAGCAACTGTCACTCAATAGAGTCGACGCCTCACTGGTGTCACATGTTCGGAAAGATATCATTTGATTGGCTAAAAGCCACTCCATTTGATTGGGTGGTGACTACATTGGCTTGGGTTGCTGCAGTTGTTGAATTTTTTAAGTAGATTTTTTGCTGCTGATTTTTTTAATGTTAAAAATCTGTTGTTGAATTTTTTAAGATATTTTTTTATTTTAAGTAAAAAAAAATACTCAAATACATAATTTCACTGAATAAAAATTCTATGACTAAAAAGTCATTATGTTGAGCCTATTTCTTCCACAGTTTTGGCAAAAATCTGGTGATACAATAAATATAACAGTACAGTAGAGATGATACTACATATTGTGGTACTAAAAGCAACATTTGATTGACTCATTTTTTGAGAATGAATTTAACTTTAAAACTTAGGTCAGAAGCTTCCAAGACACATCCAGTCTTATTGCAATATTTTGTAAAAACTGCTGCCACCTAGCAGTCGGCGTTTGAATTGCACCACAAAACATAATAACAGTAAATGTTTGCAAGTATTTTTTCTATAAAAAAATCATTACACTGCATTTATATATCAATCTAGTATCAAATTGAAGTATCACAATCTTTCCGTTTATTGATATTTTCTTACACCTCTACCACTCACCATCTCCTTGACCAATCGGAGGCAAGCTGCTGGCATCGGGTGTGGAACAGATCACACCGGCAGTAGTGAGCAAGGCAGGAGTTTCTGTGTCCTGGAAGAAGCAAGAGTAGGCTTCTCCCTGTTTAAGGTTGGGGAGGCCCTCTACCGACAGAGCAATCTGGGTGAGAAAATAAAAACATCCAGAAAGAAGAGAGAAAGATAAATACTAAAACTACAATCCAATAGATTCGTGGTAGAATACAGAACTTTCTCGTCATCTTACGTCTGTTTTCTCTCCACGGCTGATGTTGTAGAGGCTGAGGCGCTGGATGCTGAGGCACTGCTGCGTCTGGTTGAAGCTCCACAACCACTGGCCCTGCAGAGATCCCCGTTGGCACTCCCACCGCTGGCCACAGCTGGAACACCGCAGAGACATTACAGGGCGAAAGAGTCAAGAACATCTGCAACAAAAAGCAGCGAGACTCACCGTCCCTCCAGGACACACCAGCCACAGTAAGGGTCTCTGGCAGACAAACAGGACTGGCAGTCCAAATGAGCACCACACTCTGCCACCGGACGCTTCTCCAACTGAAAAGGATCAATGAATGCATTTTGGCTCATTTGTAAACTGGATGAGGTCAATGATATAAGTGTGGATGGATAATTTTAGAGTTTGAGAATAAAGAACACCAGTGATCAAATTATCTAACAAAAGGCTATGATTATTCAGAACCGCTAGAGATTAGTCAGGTCCCTTGGCAAGAGAGTCAATCAATAGGTGTGGTTAGCAAATCTAATGAATCTGAATCTTCATGAAGACTAACTGGATGATTACGGCTTCATTAAAGTGAAAAATATAAAAATATTTAAAAAAAACATTATTTGAAGCTTTTCTTCTACTTTAACACACACACACACACACACACACACACACACACACACACACACACACACACACACACACACACACACAAAATGTGTTTACTTCCTTTACTTCTCCACTTAAAGGGACATTATGGAAGTTTGACAGCCAAAACATGTATAGAAATAATAAATGTCTTCTTCATACATTCTCCTGCAATGCCCTGGTCCTGTAGAATGAGCCCTGGCATTTTTACTATGATTGCCTGTTTTTCTGTAAAATCACAGAAAAAGAGAGATGCTCGGGTCGAGCAGGCTGCTTCATGCGCGTTCACGCTCAGGCATAGCCCGTAGCATTTGCTATCCGTAGCTTTAACAGCAGAGAGAGAGGTAGTGCCACTTTGTCGCTGTTCCTCATGCCTAGCGACGAACCTAGCTACATTTCTGAGGACCCTTAGCTACTTTCTGTAGAACTTTCTTCTAGATATTTCCTGCAAATCAGCAACAAAATAGCCATTTTCGCTCCAAACCGTTCTTTGAACGTTGTTTCAGCTGTCATCAAGGATATAAAAGTTACAGATACAAAGGACATCACTGGCGCTTTAGCTCACCTAGTAAGATGTCGGTCTCTCGTGCAGAAGACCCAGGTTTGATTCTGGATGTGAACATAGTTCATGTAGAGTTTCTTTTTTACATTAATGGTATATTTTTTTAACAGTAATAAGACGCCCAAATTTTTATTTGAGACTCGCCGAATGGCATTGAATTCACAGATAAAAAAGATGTGGGTTCAACTTTCATTTTGGAACAATTTTTCAAGCAAGAGAAGGGAATGATCTGAGCATGCAGGAGGACTGACCCATCATAAACCTTTGTTGGCTGTGCTGAAGAGAAAGGTACAGAACCAAATTATTTAATTAATTAGCTGCACATTCTCCTGTCCTCTGTCCTCCGGGCCACACACACACACACACACACACACACACACACACACACACACACACACACACACACACACACACACACACACACACACACACACACACACAAGGGACTGTCTCAGCTGTTATTTTCGTTAAGCAGCGTGCACGTACAGCATGCGCGCCTCGTGCACGAGCCTACTATTGAAGCTGCCGTTACGCTTTTGGCCTGAGGGGGCAATGGCGAGCAAAAAAATTAAAAACTCCGTAAAGTCCCTTTAACTTCCTCCTAATATGAAATATTGCCTTTCTTTTGAAATCTCACGATGCAAAAAGTAATTCCACAGCAAATCACTCAAACCGCAACAAGATGGTTAATTTAAAAAAAGTCAGCTCCTTTAACTGAATCAGAAATGTTGCTTTTCGTTTTTTAGTTGCAGATTAAATGTGGTCATAACCAGCAGCTGGAGTACTTCTATCACTACCCTGTAGTGAAACAACACAAATATGACAAAAACACTCATTATTTAGTAGAATGGCAAAACAAAAGAAGGCTGTTCTTGGCTGGTGTCCAACTTGTCATCAAACTACATCTGTTAAAACCGTATGGGAACTTAATGTTGGTGCTCAAGGCTCCCAGGAAAGGAGAATGTGCTGGACCCTCAGCGTGAAATGGTGTGGAAGAAAATCATCTCCGTCACAAGAAGTCTACTTCAGAAAGAGTCACAAAAGATGTGATTCTGCAGGTATGCCTAGTCACGTAGCCTCAGCAGCTCTGCCATTGGCTCAAGCTGTTTTGTGTCTTGCCGATAAAAGCACTGGTCATGCTTGACACCTAACAAACAAGGCGTCAGCTCAGCAAAGGCGCTCGTTTGAAACTACTTCTGCATCAATGATTTAAACTTGCGCGTTTTTGGGGACATGAGCAAACTGATGATACTTAAAGAGACTATGTGTAGTTTTAGCCGTTAATGTCTGGAAATATCCATCAAAATGTTGTTAAAAATGTATTAAATGATGCCCAGTTGGCAGCTTTGTAACATATACCCAGAAAAATCGGGTCTAAAATACATGAGCGTAGATCTACAGCCATATTAGATGTCGCGTTTCCTTCTACAGGAGCCCATGAGGACAAAATGCATTTACTGATTTGTAACAAATGGTTACAAAACTTTCACCATTCATAAGCGTTGTCTTACACATTTACCCCTTCGCTTGTTGCGATCCATTGGTAAGGTTTTACTCAAACACAAAAATACAGCTTGCTTGTAATTATGTACGCATATACTCCTCCCGTAGCCAGGGAAAACACACACTGTCACTTTAAGACCTTTATTTAGAAAAAGGATGTAATGTTTTTTTTCATTATCGGTGTTTCTCGAACTGCCTCGTTGAGTGATTTCCGGGGTAAAAAAACACATAATGTTGGTCTCAGCACTGTCCACTTGCCTGTGCAGGCAGTTTGAAAGAAAATCGTAGATTCTGCCTGACGACTGGGTGGTTTCATGACTCGTGGCCTGACTATAAATTCACAAATATAGGATGGCTTTCCAGGCTACCTGAATAGCATAATTTAACACATTTTTATTTTATTCTATTTGATGTACAGTCAAAAATAAACCATTATAGTGGAATTGTAATTCCTTTAAAAGCTAACTTTGACCTTCAGATCTCATCTAAAATTCTGTTGGACCGATCTTTGTCATGTCCAAATTAATCTGGAAGCTCCATGCTAATCATAACTGCGTAGGTCTCCAAAAACTGTGTGAAGTTACCATATCTGTGCTTTTCTAGACACCAGATGGTGACAACTAGTTAAAAATCTTCCAAGAAACATAAAATATACCTTTTTCTAGTTATTTCTTGACTTTTAAAGGTTAGAAACCGGTCAGGTGTGTTGAAAGTTCAGAGGGTTACTTGAATTAAGTTCACTGCTATTAGTAACTCTTGGTTTTCGTTCAACCATTCAGTTATTGCTTCACGTGTGGATTTGACAGCACTTGTGGCTGCATTCGTAATTATTAGCCTCAAATCTGAGAATCATGGCTTATGAATTGTGCATCAAATGTTTATCTTTCATTTATTATCCATGACATTAACGCCATAAAACCATGGTGTAGACCTGCAGTTTCCCATGTTCATTCATCACCTTCCACTGCTTCCCACACACACACTCAGTAGGGAGCGTGCTGACACAATGAAGGCCACTTTTGCTGATCAATACCATTGTTATGTACAACCTTTCACCCCCTGCTGACTGTTGTGCCCATCTCAGTGGGGTTTGTGACCTTTGACCTCAGCTGCCAGCTGGCTGCTCTTGTTTCGTCTTTGAGAACCACACAGCTTGAGGAAGTATCAAACCGTGAAAAAAAACCTGACAAACTACGAAACGTCTGACGAATGACGAACCTTGTTCATTCTCATTCATGAAGACATCTGGCCAAATCCGTTTATGCATCTGCTGTATTTGTATCCTTCATCTGAACCCACGGAACATGAAAGTATGTGTCCAGCTGCATGTCTTTGAGAACTTACTGTTGTTCTGGTCATGATGTAGATGTGGGATCCATTTTGATCAAGTAAAAGGTCGCTGTTGATGGGGGAGTTGGGATGTATCACAGAATCTGCGTACACCTCTACTGCACCATCCTTCCCAAGATACACCTGGAGAATCACAGAAAAACAAAAAAAAAATAATGCATGTTTAACACGATATTACAGAGGTCTCAATGAGGCTGAGAGCTGTTTGTAAAGAGGTTCTGTCCTCAGAACGCTGGTCTAAAATGTGATATTTACAAAAAAATAACAAATCAGGCTAAAGAAGTACCTTTTCTACCCTTCAGCTCAAACATAAATCAAATCATGCTTGCACAGGATTGCAGCAGAAGTGGCCATAAATGTGATTATCAGGCAGTCAAATCTAATATAAAGCACAGGAAGACACCTCTGGCCTAAGTGATTCCCAGGCCTTCAAACTCTCATGTTACCTCATGGTAATGAGATCAGAGCCAACAGAACGGAGAATCCGTCGTCCCATTAGAAGGATGGTCTCAACACATAATGGCAAAGGAAGTAGCCCAGAATGATTACTGACCTTGAGACCTTTAGGCAATAAATAATGCTTTAAGTGCCATATTTAATATTTTTGAATGTCTTACCCAAGCGTCCCACGAAACTGAATGTTTCAATCATTACCTCCTTGAAGTCATCCAGGAGTAAAGGAATGAGGCTGAACAAAAAGCTCCAGTATTCATAGGGTAAACGTTGTCGTTTGTGTTCTTTAAACATTGGCTTGATATATTGCAAACAGAAACTAGCAGTGTGAGCCCACTCATTTAAAATCTGAAAAAAATTCTGCATTTCACTATCAAAATATTAAAGATGTGGTTCACTCGTTTATTTGGTACATTTGCAGCGGTCTCTAGAGTCCTTTTTAGAAGACACACCATGCCAGAAAATCTGGATAATGCTGCTATCACGGTGTGTCTTATGAACGTGCCGTGGCGGCATGGCCTTGCGGGAATTTTTTGGCATTCATTTCGCCAAGATTGGTAGTAGACCTGACATCAGCCTTTGACACCGTTGACCATCACCTGCTACTGGATAGGCCGAAAGACTGGGTAGGCCTATCAGGAACTGCTCTGGAGGGGTTCTCCTCTTATCTGTCTGAGCGTTCCTTCTCTGAGATCGACTCCACATTTTGGTCCTCTACCACCTTCCTCACCCATGGTGTCCCACAAGGTTCTGTGCTGGGGCCTCTACTCTTCCTCCTCTATCTGCTTCCTCTCCAGCCCATCCTGGGGTCTTTAACTTATTCACTGCCAATGGCGACTAAAGTCGTCATTTGCATTTTTTTTACTTTGTGGGCGTCGGAACGAGCCCCCGCACCGTGAGAACAAACATCTCAGCTCTAATGCTGATCTTCATGCGCATATGTCATACGTCACATGATCAGGAGGCAGAACATCCACGTGTTAGGAGATCATTTTGGGCCGCTGCTGTAAAAAAAGTGAGGCGCGAACCGGAAAAGCTTCTGCCGATCACAATTCAACAACAGATTATGAAAGAACGGATAACGTTCGAAACACGTGGATTCTTCCCGATGTAAGAGGTGAGTCTCCGCTTTGTTTTGGTTGTTTTGGCGTCGACATCATCGTAGTGTGCAACGTTCTGTGACTCTTAAATAAACAGTAAAAATGCTGAGAAACGCTGGCAGCGAATGAGTTCAAAGGAATGTCCTACCATCTTTATGCAGATGACATCCAACTTTATCTCCTATAAGCACCATGAGATGTCCACATTAAAAAGTCTCTTAAATACAATAAACGCAATAGTAAATGCACTATCTTGGACCGGATACATGACAGGATACCACAGATAAGCGCTACGCCCCCTGTTGTCCTGGCGGGGAATTGCTTTGCAACACTCCCAAGGAGACGGAGAAGTCCAAGAGCAAAACACCTCTGTCCATGCGTACGTCTCTCCCTACTGGAGCTGATAGAGAAGTATAAATTCGGCTTTACTTTTCAGTGTTTAGACAGTAAAACTAGCACTCAGACTTTGAGAGAAACATTTGTGAAATCTTAAATAGAAACTGAATAAAAATCCATCTTTTTGTCAAAACTGCATCCACTGCTTTAAATTATGGAGGTGAAACTGCACTTGGCCTCCAAAAATCACAGTCGCAGCCCACAGAGCACAAAGCAAATGCATGAAGCATGGGATCGCTGTGGTATGCCTGTCTGTGTTTGCTGGCACACTGGGAACAGAGGAATGATGGGAATCTTTGAAGACTGCAGTGTGAGGCTGTGATGTTGATACAGAAGCATAAGTGGAAGATTAAACAGCCATGAACGTTAAACCCAGTGTTTTATGTAGTGTAAAGTGCTTTTATGTTGCAGGAAGATGATCCAGACGCAGGGGCAGGGCGAACAGAGCATTAGGTAAGCTTGCATGAATGAAATAAAGATTAGAACACTCCCTAAATGCAAAACTGCCTTGTGGATTAAATATTTCTGCTGTAATCCTGATGACTCAGGGTTGACTCCCTGTCTTCAACCAGGTGCACGCTGGGGGAGGAATACCTTGTGAAGATTCCCTCTGGCGTCTCCGAGGAAGGCGATGCTGTGCACCTCTCGGACGCTGACGGCCACAGCAGTGAGACGGGCGGCCGAGGTTTGCCACACAGCCGTGGCTTCCAGTGGGTCCTTGCTTGCCATGGGACTGGGGGTGTGGTCAGAGCCACATGGGTATGCATTCAGGGTGTTCTACAAGATGTGACAAGATGGAAAGTTTGATTAGCTGGAACATAAACACGGTTTTTATTACTGTTTCTTTAGGTCACGGCGTTCTGTTTGGATTTAATCGCTTTGACATGAACCTAAAACAACACTTCAGGTCAAGAAGTTCACAGCCCCTCTTATTGCTTCAGAGCCTCTGATCATCTTAGTTTAGAGGATTTGCACAACAGCTTAATGTGTAGTTAGTCAACAGCACCCAACATGCTATTTTGCTTTTACATAGCAGCCGTTCTGCAGTAACTCATGATGGTTTATAATTAGCCATGAATAGAGCATTGAAGCGGCAAATCGCTTCGTCTCCCTGGTTTGTTTATGGAGAAAATAAGATGTTTTTTTACTGGTGAATGGGAAAAGTGAGCTAACAAATCTGCCCTATTTCCCTCCAGCCTGTAGTCAGATCTTCCTTTCTACTCCCATGTTTGAGTTTCCTCCCTCTCTCTCTGCCATCTTATGTCAGCGAGGTAAAAGCGTAAGAAAAACTCCCCTTTTCTTTGTGTCGGAGCTCATTAAGCAGCAGACCAGATGATTCCGGGTTGGTTTTCTTTATCGATCTCTAATGATCTCATTAAACGGTTCTGAGGGCTTGGACCTGAGCAGATTCAGATCAGTGGAGACCGTCTCTGGGTGGCTGCAGCTGGGCGAAAGCTTCTCCTTGGGTATCTAGGAACTCAGAGCTTTTCAAAGCAAGCCTCATTACCAGACTTCCATCCATTACTCATCCTAATTGTGTCGGTGCAGTCCTTCCTCGTTACTTGGCCGTGCTTTCTATTTGTTTTACCTCATGCCGAACACTTAAGTCAAGAGAGTCAATATAGCTTAGGTGAAGGGATTATTTCTCTTGACGTATAACGTTAATGTAGCGACTGTAAGTCCGGTATCTCTGGTCTAAATCAAGAACCAGTGCTTTCTGTTAGAGGGGGATATACAAGCTTCTGTGAGCAGATTTCTGATAGTTTCAAAAATCCCAGACCTTCAAAAATATTTGCTTTTCACTTTGCACAGCCCTCCCTCAAGATCCTCCCCTTTCCTTTCATCTTCTCCTGCGATCCTTACCAGAGGCAGGTTGGCACAGCTGGATTTGACCTCATACTCTATGTAAGCCACCTCTCCTCTGCCCTCCACCAGCCCATCTTTGGTGTAGCAGAGGTCACGGGTGGAGTTGATGTGCCGGTCGAGCTCATCCAGAGGGAAAACACACAGAGCCGAGGGATCCAGGGGACTGTCTGTTGAACCAATGCGGGTGGAGAAGACTCCCAGCAGGTCTTCGCCTTGCAGGCCCACACCTTGTCCCACCTGTTGCAACAAAAGCACAGGAAACACTCTGGAGGGATGTATTTGCATCTTCTTTGATGGTGTATGAAGGACTGCCCTGTTGACTGACATCCATAGTGGCAAGAATGTCACGTTGTTTGTTATCAAACAGCACGTGGAGAGAACTGTAGATCAAGACAACTGCAGATCCCGCCCCACGACTAAGAGCCATCAATGGACCGGGGCCAGACATCATATTTACATATGACTTGTAACTAAAGCCTGAGTCATGCTTCTGCGTCAGTGCGGAGACACGCAACGCCATTATCCGTCCTTGCGGGCCTGCTGGAGAGCCCTCACAAGGACAGACGGAGTCGAGCTCTCTTTTCTAAACATCCGTCGAGTCGGAGAACGCAAGCTTGTGATTGGTTAGGGCACCACTGTCGTCTACACCACCGCCATGGGCCCTCAAAAACATAAAGAGAGTCGAGGATAACTAGCGGCAGACACGGAGAAGCTTGAAGAATACCTCACGAAAAAACTCTAAAAACATGAACGTTTAATTCCCTGTGACTGGAGGAGTGAAAAGATGCGCAGCAAGCGTTTTATTTGTGGACGGAAACGACAGGAAACGTGGGTTTAGAGGTGGCGAGTGCATGAAGAGGTGGAGGAGAATGAGAGACAAATTTTTCCGTGTTAAAAAGTCTCTTATATACAAAAACACAATATAAACACACTATCTTGGACCGATACATGACAGGATACCACAGAACAGCGCTACACCCTCTGCTGTCCTCGCAGGGAATTGCTTTGCAACACTCCCCAGGAGACGGAGAAGCTTGATGACAAAATGTCTCCGACCGTGCGTGTCTCTCCCTTTTGGAGCTGACAGAGAAGCATGACTCAGGCTTTACTGTTTGGAGCTTTTTTAAAAGAAACCAGATGTTGGGAAAGGACGGTCATAATGACTTAACATACCTGGGCTGCTTGAAGCAGGTTGTAAATCCTTGAAGGAGAAGATGGCGATCTGCAGACGAGAGGAACCTCCACATATGAATAGTAGGAGGTGTCTTCCAGGCAAACTCTGGCAGCATATGTCCGGTACTCTCTTGACACAGACTTGATGTCGCGGCGGTAAAACAGGAAGTAGACATACGAGCGGCGAGTGAATGTGGTTACGAAGTGATGGTCGTATTCTGACAGACGCCCAGCTACGGCCAGCTTGGCTGTGTCCTCCAGGTTAAAGACGGGCTCTGATGAAAGGTGGCGGGTTGAAATGGGCGGATGGCTGGAGGTGTAGCCCCGGCCGACATACATCACCGTCTTTTTCCCACTAGGAAGTTCCACCACCAACCCAACCGTCGACACCAGCGGATCATTGGCTGCAACATACTGCGTATCCACAGGTCTCTCCGTGGAGAACAGAACCGTCTTGATGGATTTCAGGCTACGTTTCTGGCAGGTACCCTGGTAGATACTACCACAGGTGATCAACTCTGATGCCTTTGGCTCCACCAGAAGTAGTTTGTTGTGATTACTAGTTCTCCTGGCCTGTGGACAGTTACTCACTGTGACAGGAGGAAGGCATTCTCTGTTGTCATTCACAGGACCGGTGGTCTCCTCTTGCTCCAGCCGGAGTCCACCTGATCCATCCAGCTGGAATAAGTGATCCCTAGCCCCCACGTACACCGTCCCCACAGACGGGTCTGGATGGAGCACCAGGTGTTGGAATTCAGTGTCATTACGTGAAAACTCGGGGTAGGGGTGACCCTCAACAGCATCAAAGATGATAAGGATGAGGATGAAGACCATGGAGGAGTTCATAGCCTTCCCATGTAGCATGGCAAACATTCTGTTGAGGGAGAATAGTGCAGGTTGTGCGAAAATTTTCATAGAATTTCCTGAGACGATGTTTTGTAAACATTTACACAGCTGTGAATTTTACATTACATGACCTTCTTTAGACCTTAAACAGGAAAAACATACTTCAAAAAGTCTAAAATACCCCTTTAAGATTGTATTTTTTTTACTTTTTAATTGCACCAAATGCTATTTACCAGTAGTTAAAGAGCAAGTCACCCCCTGCCAGATTCTTAGTAAACGCCCACTTCCTGTTTGAAAAATGCAACAAATGCTGTTGCCTAGCAGACCAAGAGGGCGGAGCCACTAACAAATACACACACTCACAACATTGTGACATCATAATGTACCATCTAACATCATAGTGTACTCTTAGCCAATAGCGATGGCAGAATTAAATTCAAATGCAGTGCAGAGTTTTTGCCTGACGATGGTGCATCACTGACAGTTTTAGGCAGAATATTAAAATTTTAACTCAGATGCACTAAAGTGACGAATAATTTACTACACTGGTCTACAGCACAATTGGACACTCATTTATATAGTTTATCAGCAAAAAAATGGTGATTGGGAGTGACTTGCTCTTTAAGAATGCAATCGAAATGTCTGTTACGCATTTCATTACAATTTACTTTATCTAATTCATCTTAATGGTTCAACTTGCACTATGGCACCAAATCGAGCCTTGATGAATGCTTTTTCAAAATACATTTTACTAGGAGGACTTAAAGAGCAAGTCACCCCCAAATCAACTTTTTTTTTCTGATAAACTATATAAATGCGTGTTTAATCGTGCTGCAGACACGTGTAGTCAATAGTTTTGCACTTTAGTGCATTTTAGTTAAAATTGTAGTTTTCTGCCTAAAACTGTCAGTGTTGTGCCGTTGTCAGGTAAAAACTCTGCACTGCAGTTGAATTTAAATCTACCATCGCTATTGGCTAAGAGGTACCCTAGAACGTTAGCTGGTACCATGTGATGTCACAGTGTGTGTGTGTGTGTGTGTGTGTGTGTGTGTGTGTGTGTGTGTGTGTGTGTGTGTGTGTGTGTGTGTGTGTGTGTGTGTGTGTGTATTTGTAAGCTGCTCCGCTCTCTCGGTCTGCTAGGCAACAGCATTTGTTGCGTTTTTCAAACAGGAAGTGGGAGTTGACTAAGAATCTGGCAGGGGGTGACTTGCTCTTTCATTTTTTATAATTTAGTGATGTGAAATAAAGTTTTACCTCATCAACACAAAAATGTGCTTCTGAGAGTAAAAACTCACCATTTAAGTTCTCTTTTAAACGGAAGACTAACTTCGCCGCATCACCTGGAATCATATCCCAGACCTTCGTTCTGCATCTGTGGAAGAAAATTACACAAAGTGTTAAGAACTCGTGCACGTGGTGATGAAATTAAAGGCGACTCCACAATCCCGTCCTGCAACATGTAAGAGCATCGTCTCATGTTTCCAAACACCGGCCGCCATGGCGTCACATCTGGTGCATTTAAAACGTCAGCCTTCACTTCCTGTTTTCACAGCCATCACTCAACACCTTGCAGGAAAGTGGTTTGTAGACACTGAGAGGCTCCGCATTAGAGAAAACCTCTTTAATTATTGAGCATGTTTCTCAGACCTTTCCCTGACCTCAGCGAGGAATCAGTCACAAAAAAAGGCAAAAATTACTCATGTGCACCGTCGTGGGTAGAGAACGTCTCAAACTGGGGATACGAATGACACTTTAATAGGCACTGACAGGTATTACTTACACCCCAACACTCTGTATGATGACAGTAAAGGGGAACGCTGTGATTCTTGTACGCTGTGTATCTTCTAAGGCTCAAATAGATCTCGACATTAGAGATGCAGCACCATCTGACCTAACCTTCCAACCCCTGCGGCTGTATCCAGGGAAAAGATTCGGGGGGGGGGGGGGGGGGGGGGTATTCAAATGCATAAACCCTACAGGAGCAGGTGCACGTATCTGTGGAGCGAGCCTCCAGCTTCCTCGTGACTCATTCGTGAGCAGCATAAGAAGTGTTATAGGAACAAGGCTCCACGCCCACTTTCCAAGGATCTGATTGGAGTATTTGCTGCGTGAGTGTGTGAATCAGTGTGTAATATGGTGCATTAAACAGGCCTGAAAGACCACAAGTCCTCTGAGACAGCTGAGTGGTCTTTATGAATATATATAAAACAAACAAAGATCTGAGTCTCATGTTTTATTGACTCAAAGCCTGCTGGAGCACTTTTTTTATGCTATGTAAGAATTAGGGCAGGATAATAATTCGACAACGATATGGGTCAATAAAATCTTCAATACGAAGTAAAGCAAAAATCGGATAGCTTAATGCAAGAGTCATTACTTGCATCTAACCAATAAAAAACACAAAGAGGCGTGCTTCGTCACCAAGCCTTCCCCTCTCTAACTAAAACAGAGCATGTGACTTAAGGCTACAATAACAAATTTAGAAAATAAATTACTTAAAACATTTGTTTCATGCCTCTTAACAACATTATAAAGTAGTGTGGCTTTAAAGAGACACTTTGCAATGTTTAAATATTTTAAAATAATTTTCTTGAGCCAATGTGAGCTAAAATGACCCGTTAGGGTTAATGAAAGGCCACCCAGCCCCTATCGCCGCCGGTAGCCAGAATATTTCACTCGCAACTTCAGACTGGCGGGCCGCTCTGCTGGGACTGGGAGATCGAGCTGACATGCCTAGCACTGCAGTCTGGTTCCAGCACATTTCCTGCAAGTTTTAGATCATGATGGCTGGGAGATGTTTCAGCTGTTAGACTAAGGTCTTAACCTTTTTAGGACCTTAAATCTACCAACTTAAACTTCCGTCTTTAAGTCAGTTTAATGGTGAATCTTACAGTTTTGGTTATAAAAACATCATTTAACCAACATTAAAGGGACATTATGGAAGTCTGACAGCCAAAACATGTATAGAAATAATAAATTTCTTCTTCATACATTCTCCTGCAATGCCCTGGTCCTGTAGAATGAGCCCTTGCATTTTTACTGTGATTGCCTGTTTTTCTGTAAAATCACAGAAAAAGAGAGATGCTCGGGTCGAGCAGGCTGCTTCATGCGCGTTCACGCTCAGGCATCGCCCGTAGCATTTGCAGCAGAGAGAGAGGCAGTGCCACTTTGTTGCTGTTCCTAACGCCTAGTGACAAAGCTAGCTACATTTCTGAGGACCCTTAGCTACTTTCTGTAGAACTTTCTTCTAGATATTTCCTGCAAATTAGCAACAAAATAGTCATTTTCGCTCCGAACCGTTCTTTGAAAGTTGTTTCAGCTGTCATCAAGGATATAAATGTTACAGATACAAAAGACGTCACTGGCGCTTTAGCTCACCTAGTAAGACATCGGACTCTCGTGTAGAAGACCTGGGTTTGATTCTGGATGTGAACATAGTTTATTTAGATTTTCTTTTTTACATTAATGGTATATTTTTTTACAGTAAGATGCCAAAATTTTTATTTGAGCCTCGCCGAACGGCATTGAATTCACAAATAAAAAAGATGTGGGTTCAACTGTCATTTTGGAACAATTTTTCAAGCAAGGGAAGGGAATGATCTGAGCATGCAGGAGGACTGACCCATCTTAAACCTTTGTCGGCTGTGCTGAAGAGAAAGGTACAGAACCAAATTATTTAATTATTAGCTGCGCGTTCTGCTGTCCTCTGTCCTCCGGGCCACACACACACACACACACACACACACACACACACACACACACACACACACACACACAAGGAACTGTCTCAGCTGTTATTTTCGTTAAGGAGTGTGCACGTACAGCATGCGCGCCTCGTGCACGAGCCTACTATTGAAGCTGCAGTTACGCTTTTGGCCTGAGGGGGCAATCACGAGCATAAAAATTCAAAACTCCATACAGTCCCTTTAACCACTTTGACTCTGGTCTACCTCTTCCTGTTGTTAGACACCCAGACATATGGACTAAAGACAAAATAAAATCCAGCTAGCAGGTGAGTAAACAAATGACATCACCACTCAGGGTTTAAAGCAAAAAAATCCAGGCAATATTACATTTTTATTGCACGGGTGAATGCTTCATTTCTGCACTAGGATGCTGAACTTGTTTGTTTGATGCTCACAGCCTGGAGGGGGAAACAGTTTATAATCTTGTTTTTGCATACATGTAAATCCACATAAAGTCTACATCTATCCTTGATGGGAGCTGAGACACTTTTGGTGCCCAATGATCACAAAATAAATCAAACTGATGTGCCAGATCGACTCAGTTACAGTCCCACTTGCGTGATTGCGCCATTTGTCTAGTTTTAAAGTCGCACTGTGATATCTGCATGACATACGAGGTCTTCATTTTAGATTAAAGAGTAATGATGTGAGATCTCTTTAAATAATCTCAAGACAGTCACACAATTAAAGCATCTTATTCACTTAAATCATTTAAAACGCACACACACATAGATCTTGGGAAGAATTCATGATAAATTCTCACTGTTGCTACGCCAAGTAAGCGTCCTCACCTGCTCTTTGACCGGTCAACATATTTATAGCATGGGAACTTCCTCTTCCCCGTCGTAGAGACGGTTTTCTACACGCTACCCTGGGATGGGACTGGCTGGCTGTGGTGTGGAACAAAGTGGAGCTGGATGGGGAAGAACAGACACATGAGAATTACTGTGAGTAAATAAGAAGAAAAAAAGGGGGAAGTCTACTCTGGGACATTGCTCTGGACATTTATGACCTTGTAAGGGTTTTCATTTAATCTAGCATAACTCTTAAAGGTCCCATTCATTCATGGAAAATAAGTTCTGGAGCTCCTGTTTCATGGGATAGAAGTTTGTTGGGGGAATGGAGGCAAAAAACAACAGGATTGCAAGTCCTGCATGCATCACCTCTGATTGGCTAACGGGAATGTGACTCTTCCGCTGCCTTTCTGTCTTGAAAAAAAAAAGCTGTGTCAATGTTTTATTTCCACAAATAACAGAAATCCCAACTTGTTCCGCCACGTTTTGAAGACGCAGACAGTTAGCTTCTCCTAGCCAAGACGTGCTCTGCTCTTTCCTTCCTGTGGGCGGTCGCAAGTCTAAGTGGGCGGGGCCATGAATACTATTCTTCCCTGTGACATATAGAGACTGGCTTATTCTCATGTGATTGTTCTCCAGTCGGTTTCCTTCCTGCAGCTGATGCAGGAATTGGGGGTTGAAGACAGTTTTCATGTATGTGACAGTTATAAAAGTCTCTATGAGATTCTTTTTGTGATTATTTTTGCAGTGAATGAGCCTACGTGAAAAAAATAATTACATAAGCTCGTGCGGTTCCCAAGTCAACTTTCCTCAGCATATCTGGCCTTTGATGTAGAAGGATTTAAAGCTTTTATGATAAATCTACAAGCTAGGTGTTGAAGGCAAACACAGAACACTCTCCCATCCCCTCGGGTAGCTTCCTTGAAGTGGTGGCAGCCGGCTGTTTCTCTTACTCTGATACTATTGAGTCGCCACCTTCTGTTGCTAAATATGCAAGAGCGTAACAAATGGAGGACCCAGGGAAGTGTGGCGGTTCAGCAAAACCAACAACTGGATGATCCAATTGTTGCTTTCGGTCTAAACCATGTTCTTGGTGAAGGTTTTTAGAAAAAATGCGAGGGAACCACTTTATTTAATTTTTTTCTCATCTCCACAAAATATTTGTAGCTATACTATGATATATGGCCTGTATTGATATAGCACCTTCTAGAGTCCTGCAACCCCCCAAGGCACTTTAGAACACAATCAGTGTTACCATAGTAGAAGTAGAAATTACTGTTGTTTACAACATGGCATTCCAGCATTTTTAACAGCGTTCTCGTCTTTTCCGACAGTGCAAGCTATTTCTCTCCAAGAATTATTAACAACATGTTGATCACGGTGATCTCTGAGCGCTGAATCATACAAATGTCTGTATTTACGAACCTCAGCCATACAATTTCTTGCCAGTCCGCCATGTTTTTCCGTGTACGACCGTCCGCGTGGTTAGAAAATTTCCTAGGTGCACGGTGCGGTCAGTTTGGGCCGTGCGGGGGCGCGGTGGAGAGGCGTGGTTGTTAAAATGACGCAATTTTGCCGTGCGGACCTCGCGGACGCGTCAAGCATAAACCAACCTAAGTGTCTTGCCCAAGGACACAATGACAGCAACAAACTGAGCGCGGCTCAAACCTGCAACCTTCCGATTACGGGGCGAACACGTAACTCCTGTGCCGCCGTCACCCCACTATGTTGGAACGTTGTTAAAAGGCATGAAGAACTGTTTTAAGCTTGTTTTCTAAATTTGCTATTGCAACGTTAAGCACAGAGACCATCCTCTAAAGAGGAAGTGTGGTCTCACATGCTGCTCATCCTTAGTTCACTGGTTACGCCCAGCAATGCAGCTTATTACACAACAGTGTACAACACCAAAACATCTTCAAATAAACTCAATTGAGGAAGAATGACTATATAACAGCTTAGGGAGTAAACATATAAGAGGAAAACATGTGAAGGGTTTCCTCTTTCTTTCAAAAGCTTCTGAAACAACAATTTGTCTAAAATCCAGAATCGACCATTCAGTTATGAGTTGTATGTGTGTGCGCTAAAAACACATTCAAGCTTCTACGATATGATAAGAATGCCGCTTCGTCCCACATCCTCTGTTCTCCCATCTCTCCATGTTTATTATTAATCACCGAGAAAATCTGCTGTGCAAGTTCTTTTCTAAAGCTTTAATGAGCCGTGACAGCCCACTGAGCACCAAAGACCTCATAAAATATGTGAGGTCAACAGCCCTGTGACAGTGGGGTACATTGGGCCCAGAGCCAGAGAGCGCTGCTTTGAATTGTTATGTTGTGTTGGATCGGCTGGCGCCTCGCCCCGGGCTTCAGGCTCTTGCAACAGTAGCATCTGTGGATCCCATCCGGACACTACGGTAGTGGAAGCAGCACTGGGCGAGCTCAGCAAGGCCAGTCACAACAAGCTGTGAGAAAATACAGAGCAGGCACTTGCATTTGGGGGGAGGGACGACACTGGCATTTAGGTTTGGGTGACATTCATGACCCAGCCCGCTACAGTGGAGGCAAAGGCCTCCTACATGTACCTAATCCTGAAGAAAAAAGGCTGCCAGAAAGGTCAAACCTTAGTTGAGGAAAAAACTCAGTAATCTGATTACTTTCTGTTATGTGTAACTAGCAAAACACAATCAGACATTCTCAGATTTGTAGTCTTAAACATGTAAAAACAGAGTTGTACACAAAACTAGTCCTCGCGTGTTATCAAGGGCATCGGTTTGTTTTAAATACTGGTGGGGAATATTATATTGATTTATTTATATTTAAGTGTTTGATGCTTAATTACAATCAGGGGTGCAATGTATTGACGGGGTTTTAAAATCTGAGCTTACAAGCTTGCTCAGAAAATAACCAATAAAATAAGGTTTCAGTTAACTCCATATTCCATTGCCAGAACGAGTTGTCCGTGATCCACGGATTATTACAAATAACAAATAAGTTTCTCACTGAGAAATCATCTTTTACTCATTATTGCTGATTATAATGGGTCACACTGGGTTTTCATGCAGGCTGAACATGAAACACAGGGACTTGATGTCGAGCTCTGGCTGGCAACTGTATTGAAAATGAAAGTAAAAAATTAGGGTTCGCTTTAGTAAACAGAACCAGCTGAGATGATAAACTGAAGCGATGCAACACTCCTGGAGCTTTTCTCCATTAGAGCTGGAGGTCAGATCACCAGAGACAGCAGGATATTGTGGGGGACAGACACCATGAGAAACGGCTTGTTAAAAACCTTAAAGAGCAAGTCACCCCCTACCAGAGTCTTACTCAACTTCCACTTCCTGTTTGAAAAATGCAACAAATGCTGTTGCCTAGCAGACAAGAGAGGGTGGAGCCGCTAACAAATACACACACACATACACACACACACACACACACACACACACACACACACACACACACACACACATACACACACACAGAGGCTCACAACGACATTGTGACATCATATGGTTCCAGCTAACGTTCTTGGGTACCTCTTAGCCAATAGTGATGGCAGATTTAAATTCAAATGCAGTGCAGAGTTTTTACCTGACACAACACCAACGGTTTTAGACAGAAAATTTAAATTTTAACTAAAATGCACTAAAGTGCAAAACTATTGACTACACGTGTCTGCAGCACGATTAGACATGCATTTATATAGTTTATCAGAAAAATAAGTTCATTTGGGGGTGACTTGCTCTTTAAGGAGCACAGCTTTGATCGCGGGAAAAGCAAGTTATGTCCAAGATGAACGGAAGTGCGTGGCAGGGCAGAGACCGCCCCATACCCCCTTTATGCCACACCGCGTAATCATTTGTGAAAAAGACACGATGGCACAACATTACTGCCACGATCTGACCACTTATATACGACCTAAGGCTCCCTGATTCTGCCACAGCATTGTGGCAAATTGACATCATTGTTTTGTAAAAACGGCTACGCGATAGGCACATTGCTGATATAAAAATATGGTCTCACGGAAAAAACAAATCTAAAATACACGACTAACGTTTAGAAAGAACAATTCATGTAGTGAAACAATTTGAACCTTATTTGAGCTTCAGTGGCAACATGTGGATTAGGGGCTACTTGTTCAAAATCCAAGGCATGATGTGCAGAAACAGGGAGGTCTAGCAGTGAACCTTCTCTTCCTGTCATACTGGTTACATCCAGTAAAATCCTCCAGTTGTCTCATCTCTCCATTGCTAACTCTGTAAAGAAATTTGGTCCAAAGCATAAATTAGCAAGGTGGAGTTCAATCTTAGACAAAAGAGTGGGAGATTAGTTCAGCTCTACCAGAATAAATTTATAACTGATTCCATTAGCTCAAATGGACTCCAATCTGCCGGCTGGACTGAGCAGCATTTGAACGGATGTTGGCTTCAATTTCATTTTCTCGTGTTATTTGAGCACCAAAGATGAGAACGGAGAAACTTGATAAAAAATTATTACAACTGGTGTCTGACTGAAACCAACCGAAGTCCAAACCTAATATGACTAATACAGTCAACCCGGTACTGCTGCTAGCAAGGCTGAAGTCGGGCTGGCTTGTATGTACGCCATAGCTGGTGGCTGTGTTTCCACTTTGACATTTAGATCAGTATGTTTAGATCACTAACATTATGAGAGGCAGATGCAAACGCTTGGCCTCTCTCCATTTCCGTTCCCTTCTCCAGGGTCAATGGGCATCTCTTTGCCCTCAGTTCACATGCAGACAGAGAGAGTCTCTCTCTCTCTGTGTCCCTCCGGTGTGATGAAGGGCTTCTCTGTCTGTGGCTGAGGCAAATAGTGTCCCTTTCACAGCTCTCTGACCAAGTGGCTGCACTAAACGGACACAGGATAAAAGCTACTTCCCTTAAAACAGACTACACACACTCACTTGGGCCGTTTTATGACAGGATCTTTTCACCCTGGAGGCGGCACTACCCTAGGCAAAAAAAGCAGGTGTTGAACCGCCCCGCTCGTTGCAACGTGTCACGAACAACCTGACATCCATTGTAACGCTGCAGGCTTTCATCACTTATCTGTTTCTAATGAGCTGCTATCATCGAGAGTTTGGAAATGATGGTCATTCACCA